TTATACTTCAATCAGGTGTTCAATGGTAAGTAGGAGGGTTTACCTGGGGCTATCTGTTTTTGAGTTTACGGGACACTAAAGCCTAAAAACAATAAATGTTGTGGTTCCGATTACCCAACCGACCCTTGAATTCTGGCACCAAACCTAGTTTTTTTAAGAGGTATGAATAAAATAAGCTTTCAGATACTATTGTTTTTGGCCGGCACCAATGGACATCGGCCATTCTGATAGAGAAAGTCGACATGATGGCCGCAAGCTTGTTTGAATAAACAATTAAAGATTGATAAATGTGTTATTAGTTCATACTTTACTTCTAAAAACAAAGTGAAAAAAGAAAGAATTCCTACCTACCCTAAATTTTAAAGAGGTGTAATCGGAACATCATTTTTTTTATTTGGCCTAAATGAAAAATGTTGGCTGTACAACACATCAACACTGAGGTACAGGGAAGGTGCGGTGTCACATGCCTCGTTTAATTTCAACAATTTAATTAGTGGCACATAATTATAAATGCTCACATGCATTAATAACTATTTCACTTGTGTGTTGGGGATTAGGTGCCTTGATCTTTCAGTGTGGGTTTGAATCTCATTTGGGACTCAACCAAAAAAGGTGCTTCAATCTGTACTTTACTAAATAAGTGTAATCCCAAATTCAACATGATAGTTACAAACAGAAAGGTATGCAACTGTGTCATCCACCACCAAATACACATAGCCCTGGATTTTAAACTACGATTTACTATAGTTATCATATGTCACACATTGAAACCATGGGGGATTTGAACCACGGCTCTCATGATGACAAGTGAACGCTTTAACCACTAGGCTACCCCACCACCTATTACCATACAAGAACACTTCTTCAAAATTATATTTCGACTCTGTCCTGTATTTGTCAGCTTTGTGACATTTGTCTTTAAGATTAATATGACCTAGTGATATAACTAGGACAAGGGCAGAGTGTCACATTCGTATGACACATGCTCTGACAGCCTTTCTCTTTCAGGACTCTAAATAATCCATGACAGAATTATCTGGACCATGACTACCATAGAGCTGTTTTAGAGTCTATACAAGTTTCCTAATGTTTCTGTCTGTGTCAACAAATGTAACTGTCCTTCCAAAAATAAACATTGGCCTTAACAATGCTAACTGACCTGATATGGTATGTAACGAGTTCAATGTCAAGTAGGTCATATTTCTGACAGCATTCCAGGGAAGGTCCCTGGGGCTCATACTCTTAATTTTCAGGGGTCCTGGACAATAAAATGGGGGTTCCAGACACTTAAATATTATTACTAATACTGTTTTTGTACTGTGTATCATGATCATCACATTGTTACAGTAATTAAATTGCAAATGATACCGCTTATTGTTACTTGATTGGAATCTTTACCAAAAGTATTTGGACTTTTTCTACGTCGCTGTGGATGCGCTAATAAAGATTTTTTGTCCTTTGTCAATTTATATGCATATATGACACATGAATCCGTGTCCCGTAAATCCCTGCAGTATCATGTTGAGTTGTCACGATATGTCACAAAATTCATAATAACATGACACGCCTACCCATGTATGAGTTAACTGTTTATTTCTGTGCTCATTTTAAAAAAACTATTTATGCAAATAACAAATAACTTCGAAGGCCAGTGATGCTTTATACATGCCATGTAACAAAAGGCTAAATCTGACTGCACAAACAATGCAAAACTATCGGAACAAACATAAATTGACCAAACATTTAAGATTAACACAAACTGGCCGATGGCATCAACCTCGTCACTGGAAGGCAAGGAACATTGAGAATTTCATACAAAATTGTCCAAAATGAGTTTGATGATCAGATATATATTTTGACTCGGGTAAGCTTACCTAACACCCTGGTCAGTGCCTATTGTTGCTTCTTCTCAAGACTTTAGCCACTACTTTCATACAATTCTGTTTACTTAGCTCAGCTAATAATAATCTATATAAGAACACAAGATTTTACTCAAACTGCGACTAAAGGCCAGGCCACACTGATGCAGCACAGCGCGCCAGCAGCAAGAACATTGCTCCCTTACAAAAAGTTACATTTTTCATAAGTAACCAACACCCACCCCTAAGTGAGATCACTTCTAAGACAATTTTTTAAAAACGTACGAAGTGGCAATAACTATGCCTTGCCAACAATTTTCATTTACAACAGTGCCAAAGGTGAACACTGACAAGGAGGCCTTGACTTTGGAAGTAGACAAGCATCCATGTTTGTATAAAGTGGATTCAATCAACTACAAAGGCTTTGAAAGTCGAGAGGGACATAAGTAAATATCTTGAAGGGGCAATTGAAGTCCTTGAATACATGAATGCAAATTAGTCTGGTATTCGTATCTATGAAAAAAATAATTGTTTATCTTTCCCTGACTTTCATGTTTTTCTGTGAAACATAATTAAAACATTTATTTTTATCCACGTCTCTGTTTTCAGTGCACTGTGATGCGCTGCACTGCGCTGCTGAAGTGTGGCCCCACCTTGAGAGCCATGTTTGGAATAGTTCAAAAGTTTTGGGCACAGGCTGAAATTATTGCTAAAGCGACATATATAGCTATCATCTAACCATAATAATTAAGACTATGATGACAACTCAATTAAAGAGGAAGTTTTAATTTAAGTTTGAAATTCTTATCGACATATGATTCAGACTTCTGAGCATGTCTAAAAATATCCCTGCAAAATACTTGTCAATCTCAGTTGTCAGTTGAATATAGCTATATCTGGTGTGACAAGGATCATGGTGACGTACTGTCTTACATTCAAGAAATAAACAAACAGCACCCAGATCATGAAAAATAATAATATTCAAATAGCATGAAAATGTAATTTTCATATGTTTAACAAATACCAGACCAGACAATTCAATGATCAATATTGTGAGCAACCATCTCTTCTAGGAAAGTTTTAATCTATTAACCAAAAAAATAAAATTATGTATGTAACTGGAGACAAAAAAATCACACCCCACCAGCTGTGTTTGCATGAAAACTTGCAAAGGCTGCCATAAGCAGGATGAGGTTCAAATTTTAAGACCAACAATAAGGAACAGTGTTTGTCCATCATTTACTGTGTAATGTATGGGGTGACAGACAAATAGGTAATCCCAGAAATATAGATATCTTATATTTTTAACATATGAAGGTAAAAGCAAGTCTTAACACAAATGATAATAACAATCTGATGGATATAACTCTTGTGGGAGTCCCAGCAACTTGCTCTAGAATTTGGGGACCCGTCAAGTTCATAATAAATGTAGTTTACTCTACAAAATATGCCCTGTGGAGCTCAGATCAATGCTTAATTTCAGAATCTGAGGCAATCTAGATTTGCTAAATAAGTCTTGAATAAGTTATATTTCTCTTATAATATATTCTCTCCGGGACTAGACAGACCAGTGGTAGGATCAGCAAGGAAATGCTGGCACATAAATAGAAACGGGTCCATTTGGTCAGCACACTATCACTGAACACTTTCGTTTTGGAACTTTGTCCTGCATTCTTGCACTTAAGCAGCACAAGATGAATTGGATAGTGGCGATTTGCTTACCATATTTGACACAGACAATCTGACTCGCAGACTTGGTTGACACATGTCATCTTATCCTAATTCTGTAGATTGGTTCTCATGCTGTTGATCACTGGATTGTCTGGTCCAGACCCGATTATTTACAGACTGCTGCCATACAGCTGGAAAATTGCTGAGTATGGAGTGAAACAACAAACAAATAAAACAGAACTATCTGGAACATCCATATACAATTTTCATTTCTTCTCATATGAATGAGGAGTGAGTGAGTGAGTGATCAAGTTCAATGTCATCATAAAACCTCTTACTGGTAGTAATGTTCTGTATGATGGTATATGTGACGTATAGTGAGGCAGGTTACTGGGAAATGAATGTAAGACTAGTCTGGTTTTGTGCACACATTCAAGTCTGTCTTTTAATGTATGATATTGAATATAATTCAATAATCAACATTATCTAAAAACATCATTGTGTCATCAATGATCACTTCTCTGATCAAATACACAGTATATGAGATATCTGCTGTAAATTATTTTACTTTGTTCAAGTTTCCTGTTATTCATCACAACTATGTAGGTAACTCTGGGGAGATTCCAAAAGATACTTGCTCAAACTGTTCTTTAAAAACATGACCATATGCCTCTATGTCAAAGAAAGAGTAATACCTAATATAACACTGTGTCAGAGGCAGACATGTGATGACCTCTATGAGGACACACAATCTTGAAAATATTGAAATATGCATCGATAAAAGAAGAATAGGGGATAGTACATGTCAATATACTTGTCGGACTTGTGATTATGCTTGAAAACCATGATGATATACAACTTATTCTAACCCATCATGTGATTTTATGTTCTTGGCTTGCATAAATTAGACCAAATATCATCATCACAAATGGACTAAATGAGACATCTGAATAAGTCAATAATCAATCATTCCGAGAGCATATATAATATATATATCCAATATGTCTACCAAGGAAATGATCTGCTGTGAAAATAATTTTGGAAACATTGTACGAATAAGATGGAAACCAGAATAAATGTAAACAGAAAGCACATTCCTGGGACTCTCCAACTGACAATGAATGGGGCATATTTGCAAAATCAATGTTTAGCATTTCAAGCACGTCCGCATATAGACAGCAGAGCAATTTATTTGCATCTCACATGCCCTTGGCACGAAAGAAGGTTGTTGGTATCAACGGAAATGCCCATACTAATGCAAAACATCATTTTTTCGATAACAAACGAAGGGCACTTGTTTCTAAATATAGATGGCAATAAACTGGGTCAATAATATTGTTGCAATAACAACACTTATAATAAGGCCTGCAAATGTCATCGAGAGCTGATATTAAGCATATTGAATCTCTTTACAATGTTGCATCAAACACATGACTTTATAAGTCAAACACAGCTCTGATTAATGCTTACCTATCATTTGGTTGTCGTCCTGACATTTTCAAGTTGTCCTGTCCGCCATTATTTATGACGTCATTTTGCAGTTCGGAGATGAATATGATAAATTTAAAAGCAGCCTTATGGACACCCATGTAACTGATTCTCCATAATATGTAAATATGATAAATCTATAATAATGGTATCCTTTTATTGTGACGTATCGTTTTATACATCTGCGGGGCTGTTATGTTTACATTCCGAGAAAATGGCGGATCTTTATGAACCAGACGTGGGAACTGCATATTACAGATCGAATGATTCCGTCAAAAACCTACAAATCAAGTGCGTCTGGTTTGCTCTCTTCGTATATCACCACATGAACTCTGTACACTGTGTCTGCCACGAAATGCCAATGGCATAGTATCGATGAAATAAAAATATATTATGATCGAACTTGTCGAAACTTGACCATCAATGCATTATTTGTAATTTAACATTCGGTTCCCTGTGCGATATCCATGTTCGGCACTGTCTTTAAGTAACCCAAAGATCAAAACACACATACACCCAGTGTCGATTGCATAAACTGCGCAAGCAACCTATTTGTCTGTTGTTTATGTTGTTTCTTCCTGTGTTTATGTTCGATCTTATATCAAGGATAGATGATTCTATTATTTTTGTTGTGAGTCAATATATAGGGAACTGACAAAATTTTGGAAAAACCTGACAGCCTGACAAATGACTTTACAAGGTTGAATGAGATGTAATTTCTTTAGGAGTAAACACAGTTTCACCGGGAGTGAAATTTTGATTGAATGTGAGTCTGTTTGAGTAAACGTGACACACTGTCAGTCTTGCTGTTGAAGCCGATCCCACAATTTACCAAAACACAGTTGTAATCAATGAGTTGTGAGGGTATCTCATCAGAATCTGCCAAAGCATCAGCCACATAAATTAGATGACAAGCATCTCATCATATTGTGATTTATTTTCTACATTATCAGAAAAAGATGAAATGTTTTACCTTAATGCCAAGTCACATATTTAGACTTCTAAACACAATCAATATTTTCTCAGTCTGAATCCCTGAGACAATTCAGATGATTTACCTTCAGTCATGTAATCAGTGCTGCACCTGTATAGTTTATTTACAATTATTTGAGATCAAAGTACAGTGTAGACATTGATCAATGATATTTCAGAGTCCGACTCGAACGAGTGACGTCCTCCAGTATAGTGCCGGCAGCTGCAGCCAATGAGCAAAAAGAGGGTAGTGTGGAGATGGGGGACATGGGTAAACAGCCCAAGCTGGTGGATGAGGAAGAAATTTGCATCAAGTGGCAGGAAAAGATTTTCAGTCAGGTGAATGTTAATTATACTCAGGTATTGTGTATATTTCACAAACAGAAAAGACAGGACAGGACGGGGGATGAGCCCTTTTTGGCATTGCCAAATTGTGGCACCTAGAATGACCATGGCTGCTCATGCTCCGCCTATTTATATAACCCTCAATATTAACACAATATTTTTCTGTGTGCTGCAGAATCTTTCTAAACAGATATTGTGTTGTAATGGTTAGACAGTTGTCTATATTTAACATAAGTTATATTTAGGAACACACTTTCTCAGTAAAGTATAGATTCTATTACTTTTGTTAGGTTGAGTCCCTTTTAGGATTTGAACCCCAACACAGAGTCTGGCACCTAATCACCAGTACACAAAGTCCATCAAACCCACTCAGCCACCACGGCTTCCACAAAAATGGAAGTCCGACAACTGGTAGTATAGATCATGTACTTTGTGTCCCCCTCTGACAAGTGTAAATTGACCAAACTTTATGAATACACAATGACATTTAGAATCTTAGATAGGACCAACCCTAACAAAAGTACTAGAATCTGTTCTTTACTGAGGAAGTGTAATCCAAATATAACATGTTACATTTGACAACTTTCTATATGGCATTGCATATACTAGTACATAGTTGTCTGAATTCCTTTTCTTATTACAAAGAGTGGACTGATTCCACTGGATTATTGGTATCTGAGTAGGAGTTGTGTCCCTTGCTGTCATTATATCACCACCACTGGCCAGTTCTCTTGTGTGGTTTTGACATTGACCTGGATTGGTAAAAGATTGTATTTAACCAATTCAACTGAGTTGGTTTTGTCTTCTTTTTTTTTGTATGTATTTGTTTTGAATGTTAGTAATATATTTCAGAGGGAGATTGAGTTATACAACCAGGAGGCCAACTGTTTCAACATAAGAGAAAAGACATACCACGACCAAGTTGTTAAAATCATGTAAGTCACACTGCCCTTTCTTAATGAACTATGTAGCTGAAAAATAGTAAATGCTGGTTCTGGTTTCATAAGTTTAATTCATAGGTTCAGGTATCAAATACAGCTGCATGGCATCAAGGTGTCACACACACCCTCACTCAAGAGCACATGTTGTACATCTAACATGGCCTCAGATACAAAAAGTCGGATTCAAGGGTGGAAGGTTATATTCACTACAGTTACTGGGTGGATTATGAAAAGGTATCATGGAGCGGAATCGGATTCACAATTACTTCTCTTTAATAGTAGCCTTTGGTTCTGGGGCGTTGCCAGTGAAATACCTTTGAATGAAGTCATTTATGTCCTCTGACCATCAAGAAAAACAATCATTGACATATCACACTTGTCTATATCAAACCATCCAGAATACACTCATTGCCAGGACGTGTATTGTGTTTGTCTGTCAGGTGATTGTGAGATAATGGGTGTTGGGGTAGCCTAGTGGCTAAAGCAATCACTCGACATGCCGAAGACTGGGACCCGGTTGTATCAAAGTTTAATGAAGCATTAAGGTGCCATTAAACGTACATTAACTAATATATTGTTAAATTCTGTTGTACTAATGTTTTAATGACGTGGTGTTGTCATTAGCGTGTCATTAACTTAATGAAGGTTCTGGGGTATTATTAAAGCGTCATTAATTTCCTGGAAAAGTGTACGTTGAGCCAGAATTTTGTTTGCGCAGCATTGGATCTACCTACAGCTATAAAATGACACAGAAATGTAGAATATTAAATTGCCTATACCATAATGTGAACTTAAGTACAAATACTTAGGCTGTTTGAAAAATAGACACTACTATATGTTATCCCGAATTTTGCTGTGCGTTAAATACAATTTCTCCGCTGTTTATCGTGCACTGATAAAAGTGCTGTGCTACTGTATTTTTAATTTGGCATCTTACAGAAAGTGTGAACGAACAAAATACTGTCTGATATCTGATCGACATAAGTAGGGCTGCGCAATATAACTGGTTTACCGGTACTTACCGGTTCAGACATGAAAATGATACGTATTGCGATATGCTGATCAAAAACCGGTATTTTGACTTGCATTCGTAAAACTTCGTAACACTCGGAAATCTTCGGATATTTCCTTGTTTTATTTGTGCCAAATATTATTTACATTTCTATTTTGTCATGATTAAAGGTTGTTGTTAAAGTTCAATCGAGCATATCTTTGTTGTTGTGTTTTGCTCTAAAAATCAAGCTTTAATGCGATTATAAGTAGTTTTTGTTTAAAAATTCTTCTTGCAATATATTGCAATACATATCGCAGTATATGCTTTCGCATCGCAATATATCGCAGTATGAAAATTCTCTGCAATACCCACCCCTAGACATAAGTATGTATTACATTGGCTTGTGTGCTTATGTATGACGTTATACACTCAATCTTAAAATGACTCGCAATATATGTTGAAAATGGATTTTCCTCTATGACGTCAAATGACTATAAAAGTTCGTACGCTTATAACGATAAGGGGGCATCACTCCGCTATATTTTACAATTAGTTATTGTAACTCAGATCACTTTGAGATAATTTGCTGTGGATAAGGACACTATATTTCCGTGATGTTCTGTTCACGGTATTATCGAAAACAATGATAGTGCAAACGCGCACCTGGCCAATGATTATACGTCATTGTTTTGTTTATAAAACAACATAAACAAATTCATTGAGCAAGACAATTCCTTTAAGAATGTATGCATATACATTTCATGAAATAAATAAATCATTGTTATCTATTTTGTCAGTTTTACTTAGGTTTAAAATACTAAATGTTGAGAATGAAATTAGTTTCATGAAACATATCTGAACAATATGCAAATTATACATTAATACCAAAAGTGTAATCCATGAGGACAGTGTGATTGTGTTTACTCTTTATCAACCGACCTTCACCTCAAAGAAATTGACAAATATGTACAACAATGTTGACATGACATCACTACCGATGACCCGATTTCTCATGATCTCATGAAATGGCAGCTCGCGTGGACATATCTATGGGTGCCCACGATTTTATGAGGGTACTTTTGTCCATAAATGTATGATGTAAGTAATCAGAAACATTCTGACTATCTGCGAATATGACTGATTATTTGTGTTTATTGCTTTCATTAAAAAAGCCAGAAATGCCGATAATTGCCTATGTCGCCATTCTCCGTGATTTTCGTCTGACATGGCGTCACGCTGCACAGAACTTTCGTATGAATATATCAAATTACTGTATTGTATCCGGTTTTAATTTTCTAGTTCTTATGAATATATCAAATTACTGTATACTCTTTCCATGCATATTCTAAAACTATTGAGCTCATGCATGCTACGAGTAGACAAACTGATGTCTATAAAATTGAGAAAATGCTACACATTATAAAATATGCTTTTTGCTTTGTTTACATTTCTAGCAAGCTCTGTGTTATGAGCACAACGTTCCGTTTTCACAGCCAGTACTGTATGTTTCGCTTTTGTCTAGACACTTGGTTTTAGTGACAGAGACCATTTGTAAGTTGATTCTACAATGTATGAGGAATTCACCGATGCATTTGTCACAACTGAATATGAAATATACGTGTCCTGTGACCAGCCTTTGCGAAACTTGATTTTGTAAACACTATCCAATATGGCGGAAAGCTCACTTCAGCGATCGTGTTCGTGTATTTTCCAAAAGATCCCAACCAATTCTAGGTTTATCGGCGACGTTTCAGAATTATTGACATGTGTTTCTTCATTGCAGTTGAAATGATTGTTTTTGTTCCGAGGTTTAGCCGTAAAGTTGCCATTTTGACAGACGACCGAGAGTAACGCTTACGTGTTTACGTCATGGAATTGTGGGAAATATTTAGGGGAATCCCTGAGTTTAATGAAAATATTTACATTAGGATGTCATTAGATAATGATACGCTAATAAGTGTTTGATACAACCGGTTTTAACGTTGCCATTAACTAATGATGCATTAAGGATTTAATGTATCATTAGGGTTTAATGTTGACATTAGTTAATGAAGCAATGATACAACCGGATCTCGGTGTTCAATTCCCCTCATGGATACAATGTCTGAAGCTCATTTCTGGTGATGCTGGAGAATACAACCCAACACACCCACTATTGTGAGACAAGTTCTGGAATATAGTGAATTTCACCTAATTATCTTTTGATATGAAATATATCAACACACAAGTCTATTAAAGTTTCAAACTATTATTGAGTCTTGGTATATGCAGATTCTCTAGCATTTCCCTTTTGCTATGTACGCCATATCATTCAAAGTGCCATCTAGTCAACATCTCTTAGTGCCATGAAACCTCATTCATTCCAGGTTGTGGATTAGCCAATAGGTTTTTCAAGAACCATATGTTTGTGTTGCAGAGAGAGAGGGAAGCCAACAAACCGTATATTCACCTACACTGATGACGACAAGTTCTCACATGAAGAGGAGGTAGATGTTCATTTTGAAAACTTTTATGATATCCATGATATAGATATTGTCATATGGAATGTTATAAGCAATAATCTGACTTATGTTATATATTGGGGATTCAGGATTAGAACTGTTCCCCACCAACCTATGCTTGTTGAGATGCCTGGCTGGATTGGGTTGTCTGATTCCATGATTAGGTTGATGTCATGGTTTGTTACTCATAATGTCAAAAACTCATGAAGATCCGGGTTAAAATTGATCTTCAGTAACCCATGCTTGTTGTAAGAGGTGACTAACAGGATCAGGTGCAGGGATGGAAATAACTTTAAACTTGCTAGTGTACTCGTACAGTGGCACATGTAAAATCACTTGCCCTGATAATTTTTCCACTATACGGCCTTTTACTTGTTGTTTTTGTAAATAAACAACATAATTAACATAGGAAAGTCAACTGGACACCGGTCCAGTGTGATATACAAATTTGCTTGCCCGACAGAAAAAACACTGGACTCGGACGTCGGGCAATGAATTATTTCCACCCCTGGGGTGGCCAGGCTCACTGACTTGAATGACACATGTCATGGTATCCAAATTGGCGTGAGGGGTGTGGGGTAGCCTAGTGGTTAAAGCGTTTGCTCACCGTCATCCGCCGAAGGCCAGGTTCGAATCCCCAAATGGGTACAATGTGTGAAGCCCATTTCTGGTGTCCCCCACCATGATATTGCTGGAATATTGCTAAAAGCGTAAAAACAATTCACTCACTCACTCACTTATTGGCGTAGATCGATGCTCATGTTGTTGATCACTGGATTGTGTGGTCCAGACTTGAGTATTTACAGAACGCCATGTAATTGCTGGAATAGCTGAGTGCAGTGTAAAGCTAAACTCACTCACTCATAATATCAACCGCTGGGTTACAAGCCATCACCATGAAGAAGGAATATTGCTGAGTGCAGCTTTATACAAGAAAACACATTATTACTCAGCCATTGAAGATATCACTTGTTTTGTATTGAGCTGGCGTGGATTAACAACATGACACGATAATGAGCTCCTCTCAACTGTATTCAACTTCAGCGGCATAACCACATGGCGAGATACACACACACTGCGCATGCGTGGTTCCAAAAACTTATACAGGCAAATTCTTACGAACTGTTATCAAATGTAGGAGTTTAACCGAAACGAATATCTTACATCACTGTTTAATAATTTTGCAATGTTTTTACACATTGTGTATACACATTGTGTAATAACATCGCAGTGAAGCCGTGACGTATGACGCCAAAGTGGTTTACAGTTATGGCGCCACAATGCTAATACCTCTGTCACAATAATATTTATGAAACTTCGTGGAATGGTACTGGTATCTAACTTGCTTTCGCTTCGTTAGTTACCAAACCATTCACTCGTTTCATAAATATAGCATTACACGGACATCGTATTGTATTCTCTATTTATCTTATCACTTTATAATCCGGCTTCTATTCCCCAGGAGCTGAGAATGAAAATTAAGTGCACACTTGTCTGTTGATTAGTTTGTTGATTTGACCTTGTGTATGGGGACTAGTGCAATGTATGTACACACATTATTTCATGTTTTAAGTCAGATTGGCTGACAGCTCATCAGACTTGCGTAAAGCACCTGCTTTTGATAGTTTTATCTACTACTTGGTGTATTACTTCCCTTATGTCAAGGCCGTGCAGTTCATGACCACCGCCAAGTCAGAGAGAGCTACCATTCTTGCTGAGAAGATGTCACATGTCCGACAACGCAGGGTCGGAGGTCGACAACTCAAAGAAAGGTGATCATTATCATGATTATGGTATAAACCTTGGATTACCTTGATAATATTGATTCATTTCCTTTCTTTAGAATTAAATATTTTGATAATGCTTCATTTCCTGAAAATCCATTGCTTCGTTCAGTGTGGTTTACCTGAAAGATTTTGTTTGCAGGGAGGTCGGCTTTGTCCCGAAGATCAATGTGGTAGACCCATCACCAACAGATGATATGAGGAGGAAGAACCACATTGAGGCTCCCCCGATGGAGGTGATGTACATCATGGGGGACCTTAGTCCCAGAGAGAGGTGAGTGGGGGGCTGTAATATGGTTGAGGAGATTGTTGATATATGCACAGGGAAAAAAGTAGCGCAACACCTACATGTTTTAACCCCCATGTAGCCATATATATTCTTGTCCTGTTTATGTTTGTTTGTCTATTTTGACTCTTTGGCTGCAACATATATTGATTTTAGATGTGTATGTCCTACAATCAACAGAGGTAATGGACAAGCTGTGTATCCGCGTAAATTACGCAAATATTTATGTGAAAACTCAATTCCTATTACGTCTAGTGCGTACAAGTACACTTGAAGTTTTGTAAACACTCAATAAATATGATCTTATATGCGTACACACAAACATGTGATGGAGGTTACTGAGGTTAGATAAATAACAGGTATATTGAGAGGTTCTATTGCAGCACATGATCTTGGCAACTTCCTGTCTTCCTTATCGTTCCTCATGTTACAGATCAAATATAAATAACAAACAGGTAAACCAATATTTAAACTTTTTTATATTTTTACAATTAATGAAAACAGCAAAATACCCAATTGAGTTTGAGTGAGGTGGGTTCAATTTATTTGGTTACTCAAAGAAAATTAGGATACCCACTTGAGATGAACAAAAGCGAGTACATAACTCAATGACCCCAAAAGTTATTTGTACCTCTGGATCAAGGCAATGCATGTACCCATCATTAAGCAAATATCAAGTTTCAGTAAACTGTACTTACAGCTTGATTACTTTGAAAATCGTTGTTGTTAAACAAATATGGGGCCTCCTCAACTTATAACTGCTCATAGATGACAAGTTATTGGTTTGCAAAATGCTGCCATGTCATTGAGGGCTGTTGCAACCGATTTTGGTTGTTATCGGTCGACTGTCAGTTGATTGTCCAGAAAACAGTAGCAAACGAAAGGTCCATCAGCGTTCAGGTTGACCACGAGTACAGCTCTTCTCAGTGTCACAAGACATCATCCATTAATGTCAGGAGGTGTGTTGAAAACAGAGTTGTTTCCACATTGTCGTATTTGTACCATATACCAAATACCGCGTATCATATTCAACCGATGGATGCAGGAATAATTCGGACATTCAAGGCATACTACAATAAATCGCTTGTTAGACATTACCTCACCTGTGCTGAGGAAGGACGTGATCAGATACGTCGGATTAACATGCGGATGTCACTCGGTAAAATTATTGATGTGATGAATTCAATAAGCTTTACATTAAATGCTTAATTGTTTGATCCAGATTCGTGTCGTTTTTGTTATAGTAAGGGAAGCAACTTGGGTCTTGATTCAGTAGTCCGGACTATTCGCAATCCGGACGAATTTGCTGAGAAACGCAACCGTCCGGATTAACGAGGCTTCACTGTATATAAGAACACAAGATTTTACTAAAACTGCGACTAAAGGCCTGGCCACACTGATGCAGCACAGTGCGCCAGCAGCAAGAACATTGCTCCCTTACATTTTTCATAAGTCACCCCTAAGTGAGATCACTTCTAAGACAATTTTTTAAAAACGTACGAAGTGGCAATAACTATGCCTTGCCAACAATTTTCATTTACAACAGTGCCAAAGGTGAACACTGACAAGGAGGCCTTGACTTTGGAAGTAGACAAGCATCCATGTTTGTATAAAGTGGATTCAATCAACTACAAAGGCTTTGAAAGTCGAGAGGGACATAAGTAAATATCTTGAAGGGAACAATTGAAGTCCTTGAATACATGAATGCAAATTAGTCTGGTATTCGTATCTATGAAAAAAATAATTGTTTATCTTTCCCTGACTTTCATGTTTTTCTGCGAAACATAATTAAAACATTTATTTTTATCCACGTCTCTGTTTTCAGTGCACTGTGATGCGCTGCACTGCGCTGCTGAAGTGTGGCCCCACCTTGAGAGCCATGTTTGGAATAGTTCAAAAGTTTTGGGCACAGGCTGAAATTATTGCTAAAGCGACATATATAGCTATCATCTAACCATAATAATTAAGACTATGATGACAACTCAATTAAAGAGGAAGTTTTAATTTAAGTTTGAAATTCTTATCGACATATGATTCAGACTTCTGAGCATGTCTAAAAATAACCCTGCTAAAAATACTTGTCAATCTCAGTTGTCAGTTGAATATAGCTATATCTGGTGTGACAAGTATCATGGTGACATACTGTCTTACATTCAAGAAATAAACAAACAGCACCCAGATCATGAAAAATAATAATATTCAAATAGCATGAAAATGTAATTTTCATATGTTTAACAAATACCAGACCAGACAATTCAATGATCAATATTGTGAGCAACCATCTCTTCTAGGAAAGTTTTAATCTATTAACCAAAAAAATAAAATTATGTATGTAACTGGAGACAAAAAAATCACACCCCACCAGCTGTGTTTGCATGAAAACTTGCAAAGGCTGCCATAAGCAGGATGAGGTTCAAATTTTAAGACCAACAATAAGGAACAGTGTTTGTCCATCATTTACTGTGTAATGTATGGGGTGACAGACAAATAGGTAATCCCAGAAATATAGATATCTTATTTTTAACATATGAAGGTAAAAGCAAGTCTTAACACAAATGATAATAACAATCTGATGGATATAACTCTTGTGGGAGTCCCAGCAACTTGCTCTAGAATTTGGGGACCCGTCAAGTTCATAATAAATGTAGTTTACTCTACAAAATATGCCCTGTGGAGCTCAGATCAATGCTTAATTTCAGAATCTGAGGCAATCTAGATTTGCTAAATAAGTCTTGAATAAGTTATATTTCTCTTATAATATATTCTCTCCGGGACTAGACAGACCAGTGGTAGGATCAGCAAGGAAATGCTGGCACATAAATAGAAACGGGTCCATTTGGTCAGCACACTATCACTGAACACTTTCGTTTTGGAACTTTGTCCTGCATTCTTGCACTTAAGCAGCACAAGATGAATTGGATAGTGGCGATTTGCTTACCATATTTGACACAGACAATCTGACTCGCAGACTTGGTTGACACATGTCATCTTATCCTAATTCTGTAGATTGGTTCTCATGCTGTTGATCACTGGATTGTCTGGTCCAGACCCGATTATTTACAGACTGCTGCCATACAGCTGGAAAATTGCTGAGTATGGAGTGAAACAACAAACAAATAAAACAGAACTATCTGGAACATCCATATACAATTTTCATTTCTTCTCATATGAATGAGGAGGAGTGAGTGAGTGATCAAGTTCAATGTCATCATAAAACCTCTTACTGGTAGTAATGTTCTGTATGATGGTATATGTGACGATAGTAAGGCAGGTTACTGGAAATGAATGTAAGACTAGTCTGGTTTTGTGCTTTACATTCAAGTCTGTCTTTTAATGTATGATATTGAATATAATTCAATAATCAACATTATCTAAAAACATCATTGTGTCATCAATGATCACTTCTCTGATCAAATACACAGTATATGAGATATCTGCTGTAAATTATTTTACTTTGTTCAAGTTTCCTGTTAGTCATCACAACTATGTAGGTAACTCTGGGGAGATTCCAAAAGATACTTGCTCAAACTGTTCTTTAAAAACAACATGACCATATGCCTCTATGTCAAAGAAAGAGTAATACCTAATATAACACTGTGTCAGAGGCAGACATGTGATGACCTCTATGAGGACACACAATCTTGAAAATATTGAAAAATGCATAGATAACAGAAGAATAGGGGATACTACATCTCAATATACTTATCGGTCTTGTTATTGTGCTTGAAAACCATGATGATATACAACTTATTCTAACCCATCATGTGACTTTATGTTCTTGGCTTGCATAAATTAGACCAAATATCATCATCACAAATGGACTAAATGAGACATCTGAATAAGTCAATAATCAATCATTCCGAGAACATATATAATATATATATCCCATATGTCTACCAAGGAAATGATCTCCTGTGAAAATAATTTTGGAAACATTGTACGAATAAGACAGAAACCAAAATAAATGTAAACAGAAAGCACATTCCTGGGACTCTCCAACTGACAATGAATGGGGCATATTTGCAAAATCAATGTTTAACATTTCAAGCACGTCCGCATATAGACAGCAGAGCAATTTATTTGCATCTCACATGCCCTTGGCACGAAAGAAGGTTGTTGGTATGATCGGAAATGCCCACACTAATGCAAAACATAGTTTTTTCGATAACAAACGAAGGGCACTTGTTTCTAAATATAGATGGCAATAAACTGGGTCAATAATAATGTTGCAATAACAACACTTATAATAAGGCCTGCAAATGTCATCGAGAGCTGATATTAAGCATATTGAATCTCTTTACAATGTTGCATCAAACACATGACTTTATAAGTCAAACACAGCTCTGATTAATGCTTACCTATCATTTGGTTGTCGTCCTGACATTTTCAAGTTGTCCTGTCCGCCATTATTTATGACGTCATTTTGCAGTTCAGAGATGAATATGATAAATTTAATAGCAGCCTTATGGATACCCATTTAACTGATTCTCCATAATATGTAAATATGATAAACCTACAATAATGGTATCATTTTATTGTAACGTATCGTTTTATATATCTGCGGGGCTGTTATGTTTACATTCCGAGAAAATGGCGGATCTTTATGAACCAGACGTGGGAACTGCATATTACAGATCGAATGATTCCGTCAAAAACCTACAAATCAAGTGCGTCTGGTTTGCTCTCTTCGTATATCACCACATGAACTCTGTACACTGTGTCTGCCACGAAATGCCAATGGCATAGTATCGATGAATAAAAAATATATTATGAATCGAACTTGTCGAAACTTGACCATCATGTGATCAATGCATTATTTGTAATTTAACATTCGGTTCCCTGTGCGATATCCATGTTCGGTACTTTAAGTAACCCAAAGATCAAAACACACATACACCCAGTGTCGATTGCATAAACTGCGCAAGCAACCTATTTGTCTGTTGTTTATGTTGTTTCTTCCTGTGTTTATGTTCGATCTTATATCAAGGATAGATGATTCTATTATTTTTGTTGTGAGTCAATATATAGGGAACTGACAAAATTTTGGAAAAACCTGACAGCCTGACAAATGACTTTACAAGGTTGAATGAGATGTAATTTCTTTAGGAGTAAACACAGTTTCACCGGGAGTGAAATTTTGATTGAATGTGAGTCTGTTTGAGTAAACGTGACACACTGTCAGTCTTGCTGTTGAAGCCGATCCCACAATTTACCAAAACACAGTTGTAATCAATGAGTTGTGAGGGTATCTCATCAGAATCTGCCAAAGCATCAGCCACATAAATTAGATGACAAGCATCTCATCATATTGTGATTTATTTTCTACATTATCAGAAAAAGATGAAATGTTTTACCTTAATGCCAAGTCACATATTTAGACTTCTAAACACAATCAATATTTTCTCAGTCTGAATGCCTGAGACAATTCAGATGATTTACCTTCAGTCATGTAATCAGTGCTGCACCTGTATAGTTTATTTACAATTATTTGAGATCAAAGTACAGTGTAGACATTGATATTTCAGAGTCCGACTCAAGCGAGTGACGTCCTCCAGTATAGTGCCGGCAGCTGCAGCCAATGAGCAAAAAGAGGGTAGTGTGGAGATGGGGGACATGGGTAAACAGCCCAAGCTGGTGGATGAGGAAGAAATTTGCATCAAGTGGCAGGAAAAGATTTTCAGTCAGGTGAATGTTAATTATACTCAGGTATTGTGTATATTTCACAAACAGAAAAGACAGGACAGGACAGGGGATGAGCCCTTTTTTGGCATTGCCAAATTGTGGCACCTAGAATGACCATGGCTGCTCATGCTCCGCCTATTTATATAACCATCAATATTAACACAATATTTTTCTGTGTGCTGCAGAATCTTTCTAAACAGATATTGTGTTGTAATGGTTAGACAGTTGTCTATATTTAACATAAGTTATATTTAGGAACACACTTTCTCAGTAAAGTATAGATTCTATTACTTTTGTTTGGTTGAGTCCCTTTTAGGATTTGAACCCCAACACAGAGTCTGGCACCTAATCACCAGTACACAAAGTCCATCAAACCCACTCAGCCACCGCGGCTTCCGCAAAAATGGAAGTCCGACAACTGGTAGTATAGATCATGTACTTTGTGTCCCCCTCTGACAAGTGTAAATTGACCAAACTTTATGAATACACAATGACATTTAGAATCTTAGATAGGACCAACCCTAACAAAAGTACTAGAATCTGTTCTTTACTGAGGAAGTGTAATCCAAATATAACATGTTACATTTGACAACTTTCTAAATGGCATTTCATATACATAGTTGTCTGAATTCCTTTTCTTATTACAAAGAGTGGACTGATTCCACTGGATTATTGGTATCTGAGTAGGAGTTGTGTCCCTTACTGTCATTATACCACAACCCAATTATTCACTGGCCAGTTCTCTTGTGTGGTTTTGACATTGACCTGGATTGGTAAAAGATTGTATTTAACCTATTCAACTGAGTTGGTTTTGTCTTCTTCTTTTTTGTATGTATTTGTTTTGAATGTTAGTAATATATTTCAGAGGGAGATTGAGTTATACAACCAGGAGGCCAACTGTTTCAACATAAGAGAAAAGACATACCACGACCAAGTTGTTAAAATCATGTAAGTCACACTGCCCTTTCTTAATGAACTATGTAGCCTTTGGTTCTGGGCCGTTGCCAGTGAAATACCTTTGAATGAAGTCATTTATGTCCTCTGACCATCAAGAAAAACAATCATTGACATATCACACTTGTCCTCTGACCATCAAGAAAAACAATCATTGACATATCACACTTGTCTATATCAAACCATCCAGAATACACTCGTTGCCAGGACGTGTATTGTGTTTGTCTGTCAGGTGATTGTGAGATAATGGGTGTTGGGGTAGCCTAGTGGCTAAAGCAATCACTCGACATGCCGAAGACTGGGACCCGGTTGTATCAAAGTTTAATGAAGCATTAAGGTGCCATTAAACGTACATTAACTAATATATTGTTAAATTCTGTTGTACATTTTTCCTTATCCTGACTCATGCTCTTTTGCTTGTCTCCTTCCTCTTGCGAACATAGTGGAACACTTGTATCTCCCTAATTGAAGTTCCCTTCAATGTAAAATCACTAATTAGTACACCACGAAGTTACCTCCCTTCCACAAGCTGGAACGAGGGCTTCACCTCTACCCATGTGCCTCACTCTCCCTTCTTCTTCAGTGAGCTGGACGGAGAGCTTCTGTGTCTCCCGACACACTATATCCTTTGATTATATTTAGTTAGTTACCCTCGTGATAGAGATCTATAGAGGTTTAGCTAGTATCTTCAACAATTATATATTGATATTTAGTCGTTTTCTACTGTTTATGCACGGACGCGCGGTTGTTGCAGTGGATTACGCTTGATAAAAATTCTGTACTGTTGCACATTACGCTTTTTATTCTGCTGCTGATCCGCATTTAATATGCCCTAGCTGTACTGCGCGCATGTTTCATGTGATTCACGCTTGCAGCTAAGCGATACTAATTTATCCAATTCTACCTTTAATAAATAATTACTTTGGCGCTTGAGACGCCGCAGCAGATAGGTCACGATGCAGAGTCTAGCATGACTGATACACCTGAACCCTCGCCAGTCTACTGCTGTTGGTCGACCCTCCCGCCTGGGTTTCCGCTAGAATGGTGGAGAGGCGTGGACGAGTCCGGCCGCTTCCAAGAAGCCGCCCTGCTTCCCCAGACATCCCTTCGCCGCACTGAGGGGTATTCAACGGTCTACTAGAACTTTCAGCCGAGATTGTTCTCATCGCAGATTTGGGCCTGTATGATGATCAGCCGATCATCATTCCTGATGTACATCAAAGAATGACTGATGTCGGCAACAGTGATGTCAGCGCAGATCAACATTCGATGATCTTCCTGAGGGTCCCGCCGCTACTAACACTCAACGCAGACTTCGCACCCCCAGGGCAGCCCGACCTCTGAGGGGAATTCAACGGTCTACTAGGACTTTCTCAACCGAGATTGTTCCAGCCGCTGAACTTGGCCTCTACGATGATCAGCCGATCATCATCCTCGACGATGAGACAAGTAGCCACCGGGTGACAGCTACAATGACATCAGCAGAGATCGCCATGCAGCCTGATGTCTCTACACTGATGTCAGACGACTTACCTGAGGGCCCCACCACTAACAGCGCAGAGATGGCACCGACTACTTCGCCGCAGACCATCCCAGACGAAGCTACTACGGCAAATCATGGTCGTGATGGAGGGTCACTACAGACTGGAGAAGCAGCCAGCCCAGAGTACGAGCCTTCGGCTGGCTCCAACTTAGACAACACTCTAGAGGCACCTCCAGTCAACGTAGCAGCCAAGACGATGCAGCCTTCGCTAAGGAAGTCGCAGACCACCTTGACGGCGACCCAGATGTACAGCTTTCGCTAAGGCCTTCGCTAAGGCGGATAGATCATCACATTCCTCGGCTTCATCCTTAGATGCAGACTCAGCCACCAGACTCACGGAAGCCTTCGCTAAGCTCAAATCGCCGCTCCCAGCACCGAACGCAGAGGAAGCTTCGCAGGCGCGCTCGCTGGCGTCAGGAAGGCGCTCGCTGGCTGCATTCATGAAGGCACTCGAAGGACACCAATATAGATCGCCATTTAACAGAGTCAAGGGACTACTCAAGAGCTTCAAGGGTTGTCAATAGTCTCCGACTCTCCTCGCATATCACCACATCGACGCCTCACAGGTTACCACACAAGTCTGCACACAAGTCTACATCACCTTCCTAGAGTGGCAGTACGACGCAGACATACCTGATGAAGGAAGACGACGCAGAGATGCTATCACCCTACTACCTCCGATCGACCCGGACATTGCCGCGTAGCACAGAATCTAGACATAGCATCCCATAAAGCCACAAAAGTTCAGACACCATAATTGCCGAACTTTCACGCCTTCTAGAAGTTTTCCACGCACAACATGGACCCTTCTTCAAGGCTTAAGACATCGATGAAAACTACAAGTTGATCATCGATATCAACAATAAGAACTACAATCGTGAAATTGGTTCAGTTGAATCCATGACGAGACGATGTTCGCTGGCCTAAATAGATCTAGAACGATCATTGAGACACTTATCACCAGATTTCGTGAATACTCCACTTCTGAAAATGATAAGATGATCCACTCGGCCCTACTTATGCAGAACCAGCAAGTCCCAGGTCAGCCTCCGCCAAGGAGCTAGAGCCTCACCAGCTACAAGGACGCCGCTGAGGAGAAGCGCCACGACCCCACATCCTGTTAAACACAGAGGCCATTCGCAAGGCGCTTTATATATATATATATATATATATATATATATATATTCTAATCGATTTTGATTCTCGATACCTTCGCTAAGGTCGCTAAGGCTAAGTGGCTCCAAGTCTACTTCACCAGTAGATCTAGAAGGGATACTTCGAGAGCTTCGTGGAAGTCTCCGGCGCTCACCGAGGAAGTCTCCTCCAAGGTCTCCATATACTAGCCACTCGGCCATATATAGCTACTCCTCAGTCCGCTCAAGACATCGCATAAGTTGTCTATCAACTGTATGCCAGATGCCGCCTATAAGCCTACGCCAAGACAATTGCACAGGCTATTTACAACACAGAACGCCGCTGTATTAATTTGTCAACGACGCTTCATAGATCTTCACAGAAATCAACTATTCCGTGATAAATTGCTAGTATATGCAACTCCGACGACGATACGATTATCTACATGCGACTATTACGCATATCTGCAGACAATTCAATATCGAAATTGAACAGCAGCCTTGTTACAGCGAAGTATAACTCATAATCGCCAACATTTCTGAGAAGAAATATGTACAACAAATTCAGCTTTAATTCTACAATTATGACGATACATTCATGTATACAGTCTACAAGCTGACAACTTACAAGTTATTGTACCTTTATATATAAAGAAGTCGGAATTATATTCAAAACTGAAGTACTTTCACGACAGCCAGGAAAATAACCTACCCAGCATTAATATTACAGAGCAAGGTATTTTGCGCCGAAGCTTTCGCGCGTTTACCATTAATCCTCGAAACACGTGGTCACTCGGGTAACTTCGGGAAGTTACGATGAAGACCGATGATTGTTCTAATATCAACGACGGCACTATATTATACAAGGTTCCTTTTCCTGCTACACCGGTGACATCACAGCTGGTACTCTACAGAATCAAAATGCCTTATTCTGATTGGACCCCGATGAACAACGCCCTACACAGAGGTCGAGCATAGTTCACAGTTCAAGACATAGGTTGCAAGTGACAACTTTATATCAATGAACGAGCAAGCCTCCTTACAGCCCAGTTAACCTGAACCTTCATGATTAGGCTGCTTTCTTCAGGTTAGAGACCTCCCCTGTCAAGTTTAGACAAGGGCACAGCAGTCAGGCGATTTTACATAAAGTTCATCGAGGACACAAACTCCCGGTTGTGCACATACATCGTCAAGGACATCGCAACGATTTACCTAGACGACGTGATACAAGTGGATCGAATCCACAGCGCTTCAGACTACACCTGAATTTCATCATCAAGCTACTAACACAACTAGATGGTTAGTAAACCTACTAAGTTTCTGTTTGGAGAATAAACGGAAGTTTCACGCACTAACTTGGGATATGAATATAGTGCTACAACACCTCACAAGTGAGGTTTATGAACATGCCTGGATGACATACTTGACTCCATGATAATGATGATGCTATCACGCTGGCCAGCAAGAGCACTGTAAATTTATCTCCACCAAACCAAACAGGAAGAAAAATACAACAGATTTTTTTCCTCTATCATCAACTTACGAGAGAGTGTAGTCTCAATGCACTATATCTCCGCTTGATCAGAACTGTCATACTACGCGCATACAAGACAGATGGACCTAATCCGACCCTCCATGAGCTTTAATACTCTTTGATATTAGAGCCCTAACTTCTACAATTTCATCTACACAAATGTTATTTGAAATAATGGAGGGTTTATTACTGTAGATCCGATATGGTGGTTGCCAACCATTATCTGAGAGATATCACCACCGAGGACATCTCAGGTATCCACCAATTCGATCCCATGGTCCTTGCACAACAGTTGACAGTTCTTCTCGAGAAGATAAGTCAATCTTACAGATTTTACTTATCTTATAACAGTACTAAATAGCTTCATGCTATATATAATTTGCTTAAGCTCGCTTTTTATCATCACAGTGGTTACATGATAAATGCATTAGCTAACAAACTCTACAGAGTTTTTTGGCTATTATATACGTAGCTTAAGTCAAGTATATTTTAAGCATAGTACTATACTCATATTGTAAAATACATTAGCTAACAAACTCTACGGAGTTTTGCTATTATATAGGTAGCTTAAGCTCATTCATATCTTAAGCTCAGTACTATGTTTATATCATATAACTATATTAGCTAACAAACTCTAAAGAGCTTTTGCTATTTGGCTTAAGTTTCATCATATCTTAAGCAATATGGTTACATTATAACATGTATTAGCTAACAAACTCTATGGAGTTTTTTTACTATTATATATGTAACTTAAGCTTATTCATATCTTAAGCTTAGTACTATGTTTATAGCATATAGGTATATTAGCTATCAAAACTCTAAAAGAGTTTTTGCTATTATATATTGGGCTTAAGTTTTCATCATATTTTAAGCTTTATGGTTACATTATATCATGTATTAGCTAACAAACTCTACGGAGTTTTTGCTATACATATGTAGCTTAAGGTTTCTTCATATCTTAAGCTCAATACTATGTTGATACCATATAAGTATATTAGCTATTAAAACTCTAAAAGGTTTTTTGCTATTATATATTTAGCTTAAGGTTTACTTCATATCTTAAGCTCAATACTAGGTCTAAATCAACATAATAAAATGTATTAGCTATCAAACTCTACGGAGTTTTACTATTATATATATATAGCTTAAGTTTAATCATATCTTAAGCTCAGTACTATGTTTATAACATAAAAGTATATTAGTTAATAAACTCTAAGGAGTTTTTTGCTATATACATTTAGCTTAAGTCTAATCATATCTTAAGCTTAGTACTATGGTTACATTATAAATCTATTAGCCAATAAGCTCTACAGAGTTTTTGGCTTATTGTATATGTAGCTTAAGTTAATTATATCTTAAGCACAGTACTATACTCATATTGTAAAAATATATTAGCTAACAAACTTTACTAAGTTTGGCTATTATATATGTAGCTTAAGTTAATTATATCTTAAGCACAGTACTATACTCATATTGTAAAAAATATATTAGCTAACAAACTTTACTAAGTTTGGCTATTATATATGTAGCTTAAGTTAATTATATCTTAAGCACAGTACTATACTCATATTGTAAAAATATATTAGCTAACAAACTATACTAAGTTTGGCTATTATATATGTAGCTTAAGTTAATTATATCTTAAGCACAGTATTATACTCATATTGTAAAAATATATTAGCTAACAAACTCTACTAAGTTTGGCTATTATATATGTAGCTTAAGATAATTATATCTTAAGCACAATACTATACTCATATTGTAAAATGTATTAGCTAACAAACTCTACAAAGTTTGTTGTTATATATATAGCTGCTTATTCATATCTTAAGCTCAGCACTGTCTATATCATATAAATATTTTAACTAACAAACCCTAAAGAGGTTTGTTATTATATAATTAGCTTAAAATTAATCATATTTTAAGCTTAGTGCTATGTTTATATCTTAAAGTATTTTAGCTAACAAACTCTAAGGAGTTTATACTAGCATATTAACAAGCTTAAGTCTATTAGTCTTAAGCATTGTATTAATATTATATATACTTATCATAATAAGTACATTGTAATAACCTCTATATGGCAGCTGATAAGCTGGCAGCAGGAATTCATCAGTTCAATGCCTTTATGAAGTTCTCATAGGGTTATTACAATCATCACAGTTCAAATCACTAATTATTAAAATCCAAAGTATTATATATTCCCACCTCCGCTCTGTTGGATTCTACAAGTAAGAGATGAGTCAGGATAAGGAAAAATATGTAATTTTTGAGTAAAATTGATATTTTATACTTATCCTGACTCATGAGGTCAGCCCTCCCATCCTCCCCAAATAACACTTTGGATTTCCCTGTAAATTCAAATGTTGGGCTCAGTATATGAGGAGAGAGTGAGGCACATGGGTAGAGGTGGCGCCCTCGTTCCCGCGCTTGTGGAAGGGAGGTAACTCGTGGTGTACTAATTAGTGATTTTACATTGAAGGAACTTCAATTAGGGAGATACAAGTGTTCCACTATGTTCGCAAGAGGAAGGAGACAAGCAAAAGAGCATGAGTCAGGATAAGTATAAAATATCAATTTTACTCAAAAAATTACATTTTATGAATCACTATTATATGTTGAAATGGATTTTCCTCTATGACGCCAAATGACTATAAAAAAGTTCGCACGCTTTATAACGATAAGGGTGCATCACTCCGCTATATTTTACAATTAGTTATTGTAACTCAGATCACTTTGAGATAATTTGCTGTGGATAAGGACACTATATTTCCGTGATGTTCTGTTCACGGTATTATCGAAAACAATGATAGTGCAAACGCGCACCTGGCCAATGATTATACGTCATTGTTTTGTTTATAAACAAAATAAACAAATTCATTGAGCAAGACAATTCCTTTAAGAAAGTATGCATATACATTTCATGAAATAAATAAATCATTGTTATCTATTTTGTCAGTTTTACTTTAAAATACTAAATGTTGATAATGAAATAAGTTTCATGAAACATATCTGAACAATACGCAAATTATACATTAATACTAAAAGTGTAATCCGCAGGACAGTGTGATTGTGTTTACTCTTATTCAACCGACCTTCACCTCAAAGAAATTGACAAATATGTACAACAATGTTGACATGACATCACTACCGATGACCGATTTCTCATGATCTCATGAAATGGCAGCTTCGTGGACATATCTATGGGTGCCCACAATTTTATGAGGGTACTTTTGTCCATAAATGTATGATGTAAGTAATCAGAAACATTCTGACTATCTGCGTATGGTTATTTGTGTTTATTGCTTTCATTAAAAAAGCCAGAAATGCCGATAATTGCCTATGTCGTTCTCCGTGATTTTGCGTCTGACATGGCGTCACGCTGCACAGAACTTTCGTATGAATATATCAAATTACTGTATTGTATCCGGTTTTAATTTTCTAGTTCTTGCTACGATACTCTTTCCGTGCATATTCTAAAACTATTGAGCTCATGCATGCTACGAGTAGACAAACTGATGTTTATAAAATTGAGAAAATGCTACACATTATAAAATATGCTTTTTTGCTTGTTTACATTTCTAGCAAGCTCTGTGTTATGAGCACAACGTTCCGTTTTCACAGCCAGTACTGTATGTTTCGCTTTTGTCTAGACACTTGGTTTTAGTGACACAGACCATTTGTAAGTTGATTCTACAATGTATGACAAATTCACTGATGCATTTGTCACAATTGGATATGAAATATACGTGTCCTGTGACCGGCCTTTGCGAAACTTGATTTTGTAAATACTATCCAAATGGCGGAAAGCTCACTTCAGCGATCGTGTTCATGTATTTTCCAAAAGATCCCAACCAATTCTAGGTTTGTCGGCGACGTTTCAGAATTATTGACATGTGTTTCTTCACTGCAGTTGAAATGATTGTTTTTTTCCCAAGGTTTAGCCGTAAAGATGCTATTTGGACAGACGACCGAGAGTTACACTTACATGTTTTCGTCGCGGAATTGTGGAAAATATATAGGGGAATCCCGGAGTTTAATGAAAATATTTTCATTAGGACGTCATTAGATAATGATACGCTAATAAGTGTTTGATACAACCAGTTTTAACGTTGCCAGTAACTAATGGTGCATTAAGGATTTAATGTATCATTAGGGTTTAATGTTGACATTAGTTAATGAAGCAATGATACAACCGGATCTCGGTGTTCAATTCCCCTCATGGATACAATGTCTGAAGCTCATTTCTGGTGATGCTGGAGAATACAACCCAACACACCCACTATTGTGAGACAAGTTCTGGAATATAGTGAATTTCACCTAATTATCTTTTGATATGAAATATATCAACACACAAGTCTATTAAAGTTTCAAACTATTATTGAGTCTTGGTATATGCAGATTCTCTAGCATTTCCCTTTTGCTATATACGCCATATCATTCAAAGTGCCATCTAGTCAACATCTCTTAGTGCCATGAAACCTCATTCATTCCAGGTTGTGGATTATCCAATAGGTTTTTCAAGAACCATATGTTTGTGTTGCAGAGAGAGAGGGAAGCCAACAAACCGTATATTCACCTACACTGATGATGACAAGTTCTCACATGAAGAGGAGGTAGATATTCATTTTGAAAACTTTTATGATATCCATGATATAGATATTGTCATATGGAATGTTATAAGCAATAATCTGACTTATGTTATATATTGGGGATTCAGGATTAGAACTGTTCCCCACCAACCTATGCTTGTTGAGATGCCTGGCTGGATTGGGTTGTCTGATTCCATGATTAGGTTAATGTCATGGTTTGGGGATTCAGGATTAGAACTGTTCCCCACCAACCTATGCTTGTTGAGATGCCTGGCTGGATTGGGTTGTCTGATTCCATGATTAGGTTAATGTCATGGTTTGGGGATTCAGGATTAGAACTGTTCCCCACCAACCTATGCTTGTTGAGATGCCTGGCTGGATTGGGTTGTCTGATTCCATGATTAGGTTAATGTCATGGTTTGGGGATTCAGGATTAGAACTGTTCCCCACCAACCTATGCTTGTTGAGATGCCTGGCTGGATTGGGTTGTCTGATTCCATGATTAGGTTAATGTCATGGTTTGGGGATTCAGGATTAGAACTGTTCCCCACCAACCTATGCTTGTTGAGATGCCTGGCTGGATTGGGTTGTCTGATTCCATGATTAGGTTAATGTCATGGTTTGGGGATTCAGGATTAGAACTGTTCCCCACCAACCTATGCTTGTTGAGATGCATGGTTGGATTGGGTTGTCTGATTCCATGATTAGGTTAATGTCATGGTTTGGGGATTCAGGATTAGAACTGTTCCCCACCAACCTATGCTTGTTGAGATGCCTGGCTGGATTGGGTTGTCTGATTCCATGATTAGGTTAATGTCATGGTTTGGGGATTCAGGATTAGAACTGTTCCCCACCAACCTATGCTTGTTGAGATGCCTGGCTGGATTGGGTTGTCTGATTCCATGATTAGGTTAATGTCATGGTTTGGGGATTCAGGATTAGAACTGTTCCCCACCAACCTATGCTTGTTGAGATGCCTGGCTGGATTGAGTTGTCAGATTCCATGATTAGGTTGATGTCATGGTTTGTTACTCATAATGTCAAAAACTCATGAAGATCCGGGTTAAAATTGATCTTCAGTAACCCATGCTTGTTGTAAGAGGTGACTAACAGGATCAGGTGCAGGGATGGAAATAACTTTAAACTTGCTGGTGTACTCCGGTACAGTGGCACATGTAAAATCACTTGCCCTGATAATTTTTCCACTATACCGGCCGTTTTCTTGTTGTTTTTGTAAATAAACAACATAATTAACATAGGAAAGTCAACTGGACACCGGTACAGTGTGATATACAAATTTGCTTGCCCGACAGAAAAAAACACTGGACTCGGACGTCGGGCAATGGATTATTTCCACCCTTGGGGTGGCTAGGCTCACTGACTTGAATGACACGTCATGGTATCCAAATTGCGTAGAGGGGCGGTGGGGTAGCCTAGTGGTTAAAGCGTTCGCTTGTCATGCCGAAGGCCCAGGTTCGAATCCCCACATGGGTACAATGTGTGAAGCCCATTTCTGGTGTCCCCCCACCATGATATTGCTGGAATATTGCTAAAAGTGGCGTAAAAAACAATTCACTCACTCAATCACTAATTGCGTAGATCGATGCTCATGTTGTTGATCACTGGATTGTGTGGTCCAGACTTGAGTATTTACAGAATGCCGCGTAATTGCTGGAATAGCTGAGTGCAGTGTAAAGCTAAACTCACTCACTCATTATATCAACTGGGTTACAAGCCATCACCATGAAGAAGGAATATTGCTAAGTGCAGCTTTATACAAGAAAACACATTATTACTCAGCCATTGAAGATATCACTTGTTTTGTATTGCGCTGGCGTGGATTAACAACATGACACGATAATGAGCTCCTCTCAACTGTATTCAACTTCAGCGGCATAACCACATGGCGAGATACACACACACTGCGCATGCGTGGTTCCAAAAACTTATAAAGGCAAATTCTTACGAACTATTATCAAATGTAGGAGTTTAACCGAAACGAATATCTTACATCCCCTCTTTTTTATAAGCTCAGCCACTAACTAAAGAACAAATTATAGAAGTCCATTCTGTTATGGATCAAAGCAGCTGACTGTTAAACATTGTCTTAACTACAAATAAAAAGTCACTTCAATGAAACAAAGTTCTTGCATGTATACTGCCGCAGTTTTTTTTGAAGTCATTCAAATCTTGATGGCTTAAAGATTGCCCGTCCTCTGGATGAATAGGCAATTGGTTGTCGAAGGTCCACTGGGACCATAGGCTGAACTCCTGACTGTGGTGTACTGTCCACATGTGTTGACTCCGGTTGGACTATCGTTGCTTTTAGCAGCCAGATGATCTCCTGGTACACTGGAGATAATCTCATTGGTGGAATGCAAGTCTCTCTTGTTTATGGAACTCTGCACCATTATCAGTCTTGACATGGTATGAACGAGGCGTGTTGGCCCTTGGTAACATCCTTGCCTTGCCTCACTCTCACACTGTCATGTGTACTTAATGCAGGCCTCGGATGTGAAGATTTGTCATAGTAATGCTTTTGACGCATTTTAGAATCCACCATTGCCTCATGCACACTTTCACAGCTGATGACTTCTGGCTTCAGTAAATCTGGATGACTGGGTAAGTCAGTTCTGAGACGTCTTGACATAAGTAGCTGGGCAGGAGAAGATCCCATCTCACTTAATGGAGTGTTGCGATAAGCAAGTAGAGACCAATAAGGATCATCACCACTCTGCTTAGCTTTAAGCAGTAGTCGTTTCACAGTCTGTACAGACTTTTCAGCTAGACCATTTGCTTGTGGATACAAGGGTGAGGAGGTAATATGTTCATTGTTCCACTTTTGAACAAATTCTCTGAATTCCTCTGATGCATACTGTGGCCCATTATCAGAGACAATTCTGCTCGGTACACCATGCCATGCAAACATCGACTTCATGTGAGTAATCACAGTCTTCGACTTCGTGTTTGACAGCAAAGCAATCTCTATATATCGACTGTAGTAATCAACTACAAGCAGATAGTCAAGTCCATTCAACTGGAACAAATCAGTTGCTACTAACTGCCATGGTAACTTAGGTACTTCACTGGGTATCATCGGTTCCTTGAACTGTTTCATCCTGTTCTGCTGACAAGTGCCACAATTCTCAACAGTTCTCTCAATGTCAGCTGTCATATGGGCCAGAAAATGACATCACGAGCTCTTTCTTTGCACTTGACAATTCCCATATGGCCTGTATGTATCCTCTCTAACATCTCCTTTCTCATGGAAATTGGAATAACAATTTTGTCACCCTTGTAGACAATTCCTTCTATAACTGTCAATTCGTCACGGAAATTCCAAAATTCCTTGATACTGCTTGGACAATCATGCAAATTCTGAGGCCATCCGTTCATGATTATCTTCATAAGCATCAAATGTTGACTATCCTCACTACTTTCCTTTCTGATCTCTTCCATCTTCTTGTCAGACACTGGTAAGTTGCTTGTCACCATGTGTACATATGACTGGATATCTTCATCAAGAGACAGGTCATCTTTGTTTGACGAAGACTCTATGAAATGCCGAGACAGCATGTCTGCTACAGGAACATTCTTCCCTTGTGTGAACTCTACATCTGCATCATAGATCTGAAGTCTCATTCTCATGCGTTGAAGTCTCAGGGGAATAGCATGTAATGGCTTCTTGAAAACAACTTCTAGGGGTTTATGATCGGTTCTGACTTTGAAATTTCTCCCAAACAGATAGTAGTGAAACTTTTCACAACCAAATAGAATGGCAAGCATCTCCTTTTCTATTTGGGCATAGTTCCTCTCATGAAGTGAGTCATTGCCTTCGATCGCGAAAGCAACTGGTCCCTTATCCTGAAATATGACTGCCCTAGACCATTCTGTGATCGTCAGTCTCAAGAGTCACTGACTTCTTTGGGTCAAAGTACTGTAAAATAGGCCCTGGTGACTTAGTGATCATATTCTTGATTTCTTGAAATGTTGCTTCATGTTCCGGTGTCCAACAGATCAAAGTATCTTGCTTTGTTAGTTCACGTAGTATGTGTGTCTTCTCTGACAAACTTGGAGCGTATTGTGCCAGATAGGTAAACATGCGTAAGTACCCTTCCAATTCCTTCTTGCAAGTTGGAGTGTTCATGTCTCTCACAGCCTGAACTTTATCAGGATCTGGTTTCATCCCGTCAGATGTAAGAATTTCACCAAAGAATTTCACCTCTTGTTGACAAAGCTGTTTTATCTGGATTCAGCTTAATACCCTTCTCCCTGGCTCTCTGGAGTGTCTGTCTGAGACGACTATCATGTTCAGCTGTCGTGCTACCTGAGATCAAAATGTCATCAACAATAGGGTGGGTATGCTCCAAACGCTCAAAAGCACTATCCATTCTCTTTTGAAAGATCTCGCTTGCACTTTTGATGCCAAAAGGTAATCTCATAAATCGATATCGTCCGAATGGAGTATTGAATGTTGTCAGTAGGGACGACTGGGAGTCTAGTGGTACTTGCCAGAAAGATGACTTGGCATCCAACACTGTAAAATACTTCTGTCCAACCAACTTTGGTGTTATGTCTTGCAGAGTTGGCATTCTATAATGTTCACGCTTCACCACTTTATTCAAGTCAGTAGGATCCAAGCAAAGTCTAATTTCACCATTTGACTTAGGTGCAACCACCATTGAGTTCACCCAACTGGTTGGTTCATCTACCTTACATATCACGCCTAAATCCTCCATTCTTTGTAATTCTTTCTGAATTTTTGTATCCATTTTCAAGGACCCCCTTCATACAGCATGTAAAACTGGTACTGCATTTTCCTCAATCTGTATGCAATATTCATCTTGGATACATCCAATCCCTTGGAATACATCCTTGAATTCCTTAAGAATCTCCCTTGAAGCTGATTCACAATCTGGAGAGTTTGTGATTGTTAACACAACCTGTATCAAGCTCATCTCTCTACAAGCTTTGAGTCCCAATACTGGAGGTGAGTGTACATCATCATGATCCACCACGATGAAATCAAAGCTCTTCGACACTTCCTTGTATTGACATTGTAATGTTGTCAGTCCTAAGATCCTCAGTGGAACACCACCATAACCAAAAAGTCTGGTCTGAGTTGGACGCAGCGGACCTGCTCTGCTACAAACTCTGTGAAACTCATCATCTGGTAAGACATTCACTTCGGCACCTGAATCAAGCTTCATGTTTGTTTCCGCACTGCCATTTACAGTCATTGGCACATAAATCTCATCTTTATTTACTTCTTGACCTTTCTCTACAGACCCAATAAAGAAATCCTCAGTAGACTGTTCAATTCCATGAACTCTGTTTGTTGGAGCATTTCCACTATTCCTGTGACCTTGGAATCTTCCACGACTATGTCTGGAGCGAACATTTCCTCCCTTTGGAGAATGTCTATTGTCACTTTTTACAGACTGATGCAAAATGTCCTATTTTATGACATTTCAAACATGCCCTCCCAACTGCTGGACATGATTCCTGACATGAATGAAATTTTCCACACATTTGACAAGTCTGATTCTGATACACCTTTATCATGTTTGTGGTTGCCATGGTTACCAAAACTGTGTTTGTTAAATCTCTGAACACCATGTACATCGCACTGCATCTCCTTCATCTGTTCTTTACTCATTTCGAAACTTCTTGGTAAGTCTCTTGCCTTTTGCAGTGTTAAATCTGCCTCTTGCAGCAGTCGTTCTTGAACCTGTTTATCCTTCGTTCTGCATACTATCCGAACTCGAATCATCTCATTCTCAATTTCACCAAAAGCACAGTGTCTTGCTAAATTCTCCCGTTCTGTCACGTACTGATCTACACCTTCGCTCTGTTGTTGATTTCTTGAATAAAAACGGAATCTCATAACTGTTGTGTTTTGTTGCGGTACGCAATGTGGCTCAAACTTGGCAAACAACACATCAATTTTGTCAGTTTCGTCCACGGTCAAAGTCCACGTATTGAATATATCTCTTGTCCAATATGCAATAAAAAATACGCACACTTCTGCTTGTCATTCTTGCCTGACAGTGGTCCTGTCAACAACAACTTCATCGTCTGCTGCCATCTCCGCCATGCCTCGCCGACATTCACCGACTCGAAGTCCATCGGGGGAATTTCGATCTTCGCCGACATTTTTTGACTGAACTACTATTCCACAGGACGTGAAACGATGTCTAGTAGTCGTGAGCCTTCACTTCTGACACCATGTTTTGTATTGCTCTGGCGTGGATTAACAACATGACACGATAATGAGCTCCTCTCAACTGTATTCAACTTCAGCGGCATAACCACATGGCGAGATACACACACACTGCGCATGCGTGGTTCCAAAAACTTATACAGGCAAATTCTTACGAACTGTTATCAAATGTAGGAGTTTAACCGAAACGAATATCTTACATCACTGTTTAATAATTTTGCAATGTTTTTACACATTGTGTATACACATTGTGTAATAACATCGCGTGAAGCCGTACGTATGACGTCAAAGTGGTTTACAGTTATGACGTCACAATGCTAATACCTCTGTCACAATAATATTTATGAAACTCGTGAATGGTACTGGTATCTAACTCGCTTTCGCTCGTTAGTTACCAAACCATTCACTCATTTCATAAATATAGTATTACACGGGACATCGTATTGTATTCTCTATTTATCTGATCACTTTATAATCCGTCGATTCCCCAGGGAGCTGAGAATGAAAATTAAGTGCACACTTGTCTGTTGATTAGTTTGTTGATTTGACCTTGTGTATGGGGACTAGTGCAATGTATGTACACACATTATTTCATGTTTTAAGTCAGATTGGCTGACAGCTCATCAGACTTGCGTAAAGCACCTGCTTTTGATAGTTTTATCTACTACTTGGTGTATTACTTCCCTTATGTCAAGGCCGTGCAGTTCATGACCACCGCCAAGTCAGAGAGAGCTACCATTCTTGCTGAGAAGATGTCACATGTCCGACAACGCAGGGTCGGAGGTCGACAACTCAAAGAAAGGTGATCATTATCATGATTATGGTATAAACCTTGGATTACCTTGATAATATTGATTCATTTCCTTTCTTTAGAATTAAATATTTTGATAATGCTTCATTTCCTGAAAATCCATTGCTTCGTTCAGTGTGGTTTACCTGAAAGATTTTGTTTGCAGGGAGGTCGGCTTTGTCCCGAAGATCAATGTGGTAGACCCATCACCAACAGATGATATGAGGAGGAAGAACCACATTGAGGCTCCCCCGATGGAGGTGATGTACATCATGGGGGACCTTAGTCCCAGAGAGAGGTGAGTGGGGGGCTGTAATATGGTTGAGGAGATTGTTGATGTATGCACAGGGAAAAAAGTAGCGCAACACCTACATGTTTTAACCCCCATGTAGCCATTTATATTCTTGTCATGTTTATGTTTGTTTGTTTATTTTGACTCTTTGGCTGCAACATATATTGATTTTAGATGTGTATGTCCTACAATCAACAGAGGTACGGAAAAGCTGTGTATCCGCGTAAATTACGCAAATATTTATGTGAAAACTCAATTCCTATTACGTCTAGTGCGTACAAGTACACTTGAAGTTTTGTAAACACTCAATAAATATGATCTTACATGGAGGTTACTGAGGATGGATAAAAACATGTGATGGAGGTTACTGAGGTTAGATAAATAACAGGTATATTGAGAGGTTCTATTGCAGCACATGATCTTGGCAACTTCCTGTCTTCCTTATCGTTCCTCATGTTACAGATCAAATATAAATAACAAACAGGTAAACCAATATTTAAACTTTTTTATATTTTAACAATTAATGAAAACAGCAAAATACCCAATTGAGTTTGAGTGAGGTGGGTTCAATTTATTTGGTTACTCAAAGAAAATTAGGATACCCACTTGAGATGAACAAAAGCGAGTACATAACTCAATGACCCCAAAAGCTATCTGTACCTCTGGATCAAGGCAATGCATGTACCCATCATTAAGCAAATATCAAGTTTCAGTAAACTATACTTCAGCATAGTTGAAAACAGAGTTGTTTCCACATTGTCACGGAAGCCGCCATATTTATACATATGTTGGAATTGTCAATGGCAGCAAATAATTAAAGAGTTGTTTAGAGAGAATTTTAGTGTAGTTGTAACCAGTTTGTAAAGGGATGTAGAAAGGCGATTGGGGTAGCCTAGTGGTTAAAACGTTTGCTCATCATGCCAAAGACCTGGGTTCGAATTAGAGTTGTTTAAGTATAAAAATATCAATTTTACTCTAAAAATTACATATATATACTGATCAAGCTCTGATTCTCGATACCTTCGCCAAGGTCAAGGCTAAGGGTCTAAGTCTACTTCACCCAGAAGATCTAGAAGGGATACCAGAGCTTCGGAAGTCTCCGGCGCTCAATCGGAATTCTCCAAGCACCCATACTCAGCCACTGCCATTGCTACTGTCAGTCCGCTAAGACGTGATAAGCTGTCTATCAACTGTATGCCATATGCCTATGCTTCCACGCTAAGACAATTGCAATTCCCCACATGGGTACAGTGTGTGAAGCCCATTTCTGGTGTACCCTGCCGTGATATTGCTGGAATATTGCTAAAAGGAATCACTCACTAAAAGGATGTAGAGCAGAGCATGTGATTACAGTTACCTCCAGGGGCAGTGGGGTAGCCTAGTGGTTAAAGCCTCATCACCAAAGGCGTGGTTTTATTCCCCACATGGGTACAATGAACGAGACCATTTCTGGTGTACCCCGCCGTGATATTGCTGGAATATTGCTAAAAGCGGCGTAAAGCCCAACTCACCCACTATAAGGATGTAGAGCAGAGCATGTGATTACAGTTACCTCCAGGGGCAGTGGGGTAGCCTAGTGGTTAAAGCGTTTACTCATCATGCCAAAGGCTTGGTTTGATTCCCCACATGGGTACAATGAACGAGACCATTTCTGGTGTCCCCACCGTGATATTGCTCGATTATTGCTAATGTGGCTTAAAAGCCAACTCACTCACTACAGTTGCCTCCCTTTATTGTTGACAAATATGGCAAGACAGTCGGAGGAAAGGCTGGCTGTAGCTACACAAGAGTAACACAAGGTCCTTTTATGAACTGACTTATGTCATATTTACTTGCCCTGAGTGGCATTGAAATCACTGAACTCCTGACAGCTTCCTAAATTTCAGATATCATAACTCAGTATTATTTGTTGATTATTCAATGATCTTGTGTGATCATTTACTGACTTCACGATGTCTGGGTTAACCTAATTGCTTTAGTTATGTTAGTTGCAGTGTTCACGAATGGTGTTTCAAAATAACAGGACATTGGGTCCTGTAAGTTTCAGATGTCTGTCTGACCCATTGAAAATTCACAGGGCCCATAGAATAAAATTAAACACACATTTCAGATTTAACATTTCTTATAATTGACATTGAAATTATAAACAAACATAAGATTTATAGACAGGAAAAAAGGGACACATGTCACATATAACAACTTCAGTCAAAGTCATTGTGAAATATACAGTCAGACACTGGGGCTGGCGGGTTGTAGACTACTGTCAGACCGTTGGCGAATCTGCCAGATTTGTCAGAGGGTCAGATGCTATTCGTGAACACTGAAGTTGGGTTTAAAGCGTTGACTCGTCACAACAAACAACCCAGTTTGATTCCCCATCTCTGTATAATGTGAGAAGCTCATTCCTGAAGTCTTGCTGTGTTAAACAAGAAACATTTTGTTCCAGGGCAGCCCATGAGACAGACGAGTATATCTTGTGCATGTTACAAATTGATGCTAACGGTGTCCTGAGCATCCGGCCAGACTTCAACAGAGGACGCAAACCATATCTAATAGAAACAGCCTCCGTGTGGGTAGAGGTATTTTTCCTTATCTTGACTCATGCAGTCAACTACTGCATTATTTTCACTCACCCTTTGATTTTGGGAGTACTGGAACAGTTGCCTAAGATGTCGATAGGGAGGGTTGTGTCCCTTGAGCATGCTAGAAACATATGATCGTTGGTTTTGAATTTGGTTCACACTGATTATGTTCCACAGATTATCAGCACCATAATGGAACTTGTGGGTTTCGCCGAAGTGGAAAACATCTTAGATATCCATTTCCAGCTTTCCTTGTAGCTAATATGCTTTGATGTAACTGGAATATGGTTCAAAGTGGTATTAATCCCCACTGACTCACTCACTCGTAGATTTGGTGGCCCTTGTGGCCTAAAGGCGCTGCAATACACTGCATCTATTGGCACACCCAAAACCAATGATTGTATATTCAAATCCTGTTTTGCCTGATTAAGTTTCTAAGTCTGTCATCACTAGGGATGCCAAGATACATCGATGCATCGATACTTTTTCTAAGATGATACAATTATCGATACATTCAAAACTGTATCGATATTTAGTTTTGAAAGTATCGGTTTAAATATGTTTATGTATTGTTTACATTTTGCAGTTGTATCATGAGTTTTGATGTTATGAGAGTTGTAAATGATTATTTTTCATGCACAAAGATGGGAAATTAGAACTTTTTAATCTCTGAGAATATAAAATGTTCAAGAGAAAGGGACAGCCAGGTGTTGCGAGAAAGGATGGAAACTATCATTAAAATTTTGACGGGCACAGGCTAATGAATCAATAACTAATGAATCAATAGTGGTGGGCACTTGTGCACGTGCTTCTCTAACACCTGGCTGTCCCTTTCTCTGCACTCCTCCCTCGTAACAAATAGTGAACTGTGTCAAAATTTTAATGATGGTTTCTTAAAGAACTTTTTTGGTGGAGTCCGGAAAATTTTCAAATATAAGAAAGCTGTTGGGTATTAGTAAATGATAAACATGTGTACTATTTATATTTATGTGGCAATTTTGTACAATGATAAAATTTACAATTCATCGGTCCGTTTCTGACTCAAACGGACTGTAATTGTGGTGAGGGTTCGAGATCTGTAGCTCCTTGGGCTATCCTCCCATATGAAACTGATGGAATTTAAGCAGAACCCAACTCAGGGGTTAGGTGGGGTAGCCTAGCGGTTAAAGCCTTCACATGTCACGCTGAAGACCCGGGTTTGATTCCCCACATGGGCACAATGTGTGAAGTCTATTTCTGGTGTTCCCACCATGATATTGCTGGAATATTGCTAAAACTCTCGAAAGAGCCTTAAAAAAACAGCTCACCACTTCACCCAACTCATGGTGTGCAAACTTACTGTCTGTATCATTTATGGCCTTCATCCCAGGCTGAACTGACTAACCATGAAATAAAATCCACTGGATCACTATTCACGTCAGTGTTTCAAGTGTAGTTGCAAAGATTGTGACGGTGTCAGAGAGTGTTTTGTGCACAGGCCCTTGTGTCTTTGCAAGGATCAAAGATTTAAAAAAACAAAAAACTTTGAGATGACCCCCAACTCAAAATGCTTCACAGTACAATACATTATGTCATCCATTTGTGTCAAGATCGTTTAAGGTTGAGAGTCAAAATCGGGTTTCCATCAACTTGCAGAAATAACAATAAAGAATTGGTAGGTGTCATGAGTGGTGCTCGATGGGCCAATCATCCATGATTATGTTTACATTAAGTTTTAACCGATTGCATGTGCGATGGTAGCATAGCAATCGGCAAAGCAGGTGGGTGGGGTGCACGAAGTGTCCGGCCTTGTCATGATGTATTGTACCGTGAAGATTTTTGAGTCGGGGGTCATCTCAAAAACAATTGGGTTTTTTTCATCTTTAATCCTCACAAAGACACGAGGGCCTGTGGTTTTGTGTGGAAATATTCCTCAAATGTTCACTTTGTCTTTCCAGAGGTGTTTGAGTATACAATAGAACACTCGTCCAAGCCCATGAATAGGTAAGTTGAATCCATGTAGCAATAAGCAGACACACAGTATATCTTGAGACACTCTATATCATTAAGATACTATCTACCATTGAGCCCCAGATGGGCGCAATGTGTGAAACCCATTTCTGGTGTGCCCTGCCGTGCTATTGCTGGACTATTGCTAAAGGAGGTGTAAAACCAAACTCACTCACTCACTCTACCATTGAGACACCATCTATCATCAAGATCTATCATAGTGACACTGTATCATCAAGAGACTGTGCATCACTGAGACACTCTGTATCATTCGCTTTGACATACTTTATCAACAAAGCACTCTAGATATTTGAGACACTATATATCACTGAGACATGTCACTGAGACTAATTATCGTTGAGTGGCATGTCTCAATGATATATAGTATCTCAAATATCGCTGATATCATTTTATAATTTATTTTTTTAATAAGAAATTGAATTGTTTATGAAGTTTTGTAAATAGATAAATCACCAGCAGCTATAGTGACGGTGTAAATCTACCCAGGGTTCATGCAGGAAGCAAACATACCATAAGATCCCATGGACCTTAGTATTCTTGCAAATGTATCAGTGCAGATGCAAATTTTTATCAATTTACATTGTTTTGAGAACACCTGGTGATCTACCTGATCTGTTTTATAGGTTGTATTGTCTATAGTTTTACATTTACATGCTAGTTTTACATCTCTAGCTGTGATTTTCTGGTTGGTTTTAACGTAGTTCATCAACAGGTTTTTATATTCTTGGTTTATGTGTCATGAATGTATAACTTGTTTTGGTCACTATATCGCTGAAATACAGTGCTGATGTGACTAGAAATCTTCACTCACTCACTCACTCACTCACTCACTCACTCACTCACTCACTCACTCACTCATCATTGACACACGTCTTTTCAGGCAGGAGCAGGAACGAGAGAGAAAGATGTACAGGGAGGTAAGTGGTGTAGCCCCATGATCATTGACTGGGTGAATGGAATCCAGTGCGTTATATATTTGTGGCTTATGCTTGTTGTTTGTCGCGTTGTACTAATTCTTAAATGAAAAATCATGTTCAAGTTTCATACTGTGCACCAGTTCTATGTACATTCTACCACACAACAAATGAAAAATCCACTTCATAGTATCAAGAGTACCCTCTCCTACAAGCAGTCTTTGTATGTTACAAGTATTTGGCATTTCGACTGTGTTATGAGTTGTAGCACACAAGGAGTGTATGCTGGGATTTACAGGACGTGAATTCCTGCGTCCTATACTCATAAAAATTGACAATGGACGCAACGAAATATATTAACACATCCACAGGGCCGCAGAAAAATTCAAAATACTTTTTGTGAAAATTCCAATCAAGTAACAATAAGTTATCACTGAGTTTGCTACTAGTTGGGTTATGGTATCATTTGCAATTTAATGTTGCTGTAACAATCCGATGATCATGATACACAATAGAATAACAGTATTAATAATAATATTTAAGTGTCTGGGACCCCCATTTTGTTGTCCAGGACCCCTGAAAATTAAGAGTATGAGTCCCAGGGACCCTCAAATACAGGACTCCAGGTAAATCCCTGGTGTATGTTCACTAGGTCCAGCATTAGGTTTGGACAAATATATCCACAATTTCTCTCCTCACCAAACATATACAACAAATATATCTTGCCATTGTAATAAATTAATCTGAGGTAACTTGAGCTGTCAATGATTTTTGTTTGACTCTTACACAAGATATATTTGTCTGCTTTGTAGTGGAGTGAAATTGATTTTATTGTCCTGATATGGAATCAATAAGCAGCCTGTTTCCTTCATGATATAAGGAATTTATTATCTCCCACCCATGTATGCAGTATTTCATCAAGATAATGTGAACCAATCAGATTTCAGTGTTTTGACATGTATGAAAGGTAAATATGTATGTGTATCACAGGTCTACAGTCGTCACAAGGATTTTCTGGGTGCCTGTGTGGGACTGGAGTTCGAAGTGGTAGGTCACTGGACATAACTTGCCACGATGAACAAAACAACATAACTGTGTCAGAAGTTACATGTTAACCACCTGATGTACATAATGAATGTTAATGGTAGATTCTGAAAATGTTCAAACAGAAGATAAAAACCCAGCAGATGGACAATGCGTAGAGAGATCACAAATCATTACTGGCCTTAAACATGTAGAGAGAGAAACCATCTTCATCGCAATTTAAGAAATCAAGTGCGTGAGTTAGATGAATCAGTAACAGAATCACTGATGCAATTCCCTATTTTGGCTTGAACCTTATATTCCCTTATTTTAGGGTGAGCAATTGACTTTGCATGTGTTTACTTCAAACACCTGATATTATCACTATTTAATAGTGATTCATAAACACATTCTGATTATATGGTTGGAATTTACAATTGATGCCACTGTTGACAGATTATGGACAGGATTTTGTTGGTTATATTTATATACAGATGATCAAATGTTTGAGAACTTGAAGCGTTTTAGCTTTTCATTGCTTACAAATGTTTGTGTTTTTTATGCTGCTTGTGAGTTTTTAATGTTTGTGTGTTTTGCAGCCTCCTAAGGATGCTCTGAGACTGGTGGTATTCGGAGAGATTGGTAAGATACCCCACTTTAAGCATCCTCGATAATCTCCAGGGCATATGTTACGATAAATCTCCACTAGTAGTAGTACCCTGGATGCATCTATAGCTCGGCCTGATAATTTTATTACCTCCCTTTGCTGGCTTCACATTCTCACAGTAGCCAATCAGCTAAGCTGCCGTTACAACCGAGCTTGCCGGTGTCAACAAAGATAACGGTCGCAGCCGTGAAGGTTTGTTCACAGTGCGACTCAGATTTTGGGGAAATCATACAGACAAATTGACAGGTCTGAAACCTTAAAAATATCTGCAAGAACTCTTTCTAACTCTTTCAGAGTACCTCTGCAACAATTTTGTTGCCAAGTTTAATCGGTTAGATAAAAGAAGCGAAAGTGAGTTGTGATTGGTAAGCTCAACTTCCCAGCGTAGACACCTGATTGGATAAAAAGCCAGCCAAGGGAGGTAATAAAATCATGGGGCCGAGCCACAGATGCATCCAGGGTATAGTGGAGATTTATCGAATGTATACCCTGAAGATTATCGAGAATGCACTTTAAGCTGTTAATACAATTTGTTTAAGCTGCACATGCTTTCTCTGAAGCATTATATTGTATCTTATTTTGTTTATGACATAAATGGATATTTGAAGATATAAATTAGGGTTACGATACCTAGTTACCATAGGGTTACCATACCTAGTAAACAGAGGGTTACTATACCTAGTTAACAGAGGGTTACTATACCTAGTAAACAGAGGGTTACTATACCTAGTTACCAGAGGGTTACTATACCTAGTAAACAGAGGGTTACTGTACCATGTAAACAGAGGGTACCTAGTTACTATACCTAGTAAACAGGGTTACTATACCTAGTAAACAGAGGGTTACAGAGGGTTACTATACCTACCTAGTAAACATGAGGGTTACTATACCTAGTAAACAGAGGGTTACTGTACCTAGGGTTACTATACCTAGTAAACAGAGGGTTACTATACCTAGTAAACAGAGGGTTACTACCTAGGGGTAATACCTAGTAAACAGAGGGTTACCAGGGTAAACTAGAGGGGTTACTATACCTAGTAAACAGAGGGTTACTATACCTAGTAAACAGAGGGTTACTATACACAGAGGGTTACTATACCTAGTAAACAGAGGGTTACTATACCTAGTAAACAGAGGGTTACTATACCTAGTAAACAGAGGGTTACTATACCTAGTAAACAGAGGGTTACTATACCTAGTAAACAGAGGGTTACTATACCTAGTAAACAGAGGGTTACTATACCTAGTTACCAGTAGGGGTTACTATACCTAGTAAACAGAGGGTTACTATACCTAGTTACCACAGTAAACTGGGGTTACTGTACCTAGTTACCAGTAAACAGAGAGGGTTACCTAGTAAACAGAGGGTTACTATACCTAGTAAACAGAGGGTTACTATACCTAGTAAACAGAGGGTTACCTATACCTAGTTACTATAAACAGAGGGTTACTATACCTAGTAAACAGAGGGTTACTATATACCTAGTAAACAGAGGGTTACCTAGTAAACAGAGGGTTACTATACCTAGTTACCAGAGGGTTACTATACCTAGTAAACAGAGGGTTACTATACCTAGGGTTACTATACCTAGTAAACAGAGGGTTACTTAACAGAGGGTTACTGCCTAGTACAGAGGGTTACTATACCTAGTAAACAGAGGGTTACTATACCTAGTAAACAGAGGGTTACTACCTAGTAAACAGAGGGTTACTATACCTAGTAAACAGAGGGTTACTATACCTAGTAAACAGAGGGTTACTATACCTAGTAAACAGAGGGTTACTATACCTAGTAAACAGAGGGTTACTATACCTAGTTACCAGAGGGTTACTATACCTAGTAAACAGAGGGTTACTATACCTAGTAAACAGAGGGTTACTATACCTAGTAACCAGAGGGTTACTATACCTAGTTAACATAGGGTTACTATACCTAGTAAACAGAGGGTTACTATACCTAGTAAACAGAGGGTTACTATACCTAGTAAACAGAGGGTTACTATACCTAGTTACCAGAGGGTTACTATACCTAGTAAACAGAGGGTTACTATACCTAGTAAACAGAGGGTTACTGTACCTAGTTAACATAGGGTTACTATACCTAGTAAAGAGAGGGTTACTATACCTAGTAAACAGAGGGTTACTATACCTAGTTACCAAAGGGTTACTATACCTAGTAAACAGAGGGTTACTATACCTACCAAAGGGGTTACCTATACCTAGTTACCAGAGGGTTACCATACCTAGTAAACAGAGGGTTATACCTATACCTAGTTACCAGAGGGTTACCATGCCTAGTTACCAGAGGGTTACCATACCTAGTTACCAGAGGGTTACCATACCTAGTTACCAGAGGGTTTACCATACCTAGTTACCAGAGGGTTACCATACCTAGTTACCAGAGGGTTACCGTACCTAGTTACCAGAGGGTTATCATACCTAGTTACCAGAGGATTGCTATGCCTAGTTAACCAGAGGGTTACCGTACCTAGTTACCAGAGGGTTACCGTACCTAGTTACCAGAGGGTTACTGTACCTAGTTACCAGAGGGTTACCGTACCTAGTTACAGAGGGTTACCATGCCTAGTTACCAGAGGGTTACCGTACCTAGTTACCAGAGGGTTACCATACCTAGTTACCAGAGGGTTATCATGCCTAGTTACAACAGGGTTTCCATACGTGGTTAAAATGCGTCCCCAGAAACTCTTGCTGCTGTTAGAGACTATCAAACATTTCAGGTGGTTAGACCACCTCTTTGGCTGCTTGTCATTATGGCCAGATTATGTGTGCATTGTTGTTCAAAGTATTCATTGTCTGGTCCAGACTCACATAATTACAGGCCAGTCATATAGCTGGAATAGTGCTTAGTGCAACATTAAAAAGCAGCGAAAAAGTCTTTGAAAGCCATTTCGAAATTGATATACATCAAGGATGAAAATGTATGGATGTCAACTTCTGTAATATGAGGCACAGAATGTTTCGGATTGTATACTCACCTGGTACAGAATTAAGAATATACTCCGAAAAATTGTGTTCTTCATATTATTTAAAAGCCATATGACATCCATAAATCTTCCTCCCTTACCAAAAACACAAAGCAGACATAAATTTTGCCGACTCTGTCCAAGACATCTGGAAGTGAGATCCTGTTTTTCAGAGTCAGCCCGGGACTTTGAATTTGATGATATCTACTTACATTTCTTTGTGGATTTGCCAAAACGTGAGTTGCTAACCTCTTTTATCTTCACCAGTCAGTATATTTGATATTATTTAACACACTTCAAATGCTTAGGAAAAAACAGTCATTCTCTCAATAAATGACATTTACATCTCATTAACTCCAACTTCAGTATCAGCGATTAAGAAGAATCCTCCTTTTGTAAATAATTTGAGTTATAAAATAATTGTAACATATACAGTATTTACCATTGTTAATATAAATTATGTTCCTGAACATATTTGACCATACCAGAACCCACCTGAACACACGTAGGTACACCTGAACATGTTTGACCATACACAAGCACACCTGAACACTTTTAAATGCAATTGAATATATTTAACCATATGTGTACACATTTGCCTGTGCCTGAACACATTTGAAGCCATTTGTACACACTTTTGACATTATCAACCTAAACTATCTCACATCAACTCTGGTTACATCATAACACATTTGAGGGGCAGTGGTAGCCTACTGGTTAAAGCTGTTAGCTTGTCATGCTGAAGACACAGGTTTGTTCCCCCTCATGGATACAATGTGTGTCTGGTGTCCTTGCAATGATGTTGCTGGAATATTGCTGAAAACCGCGTAAAACTCACTCACTCATAATGAACACATTTGAACACACCAGACCACACTTTAACACATCAGGCACCTGTTAACATTTAAGACTACACTTTAACACATCAGACACCTATTAACACATCGACACCTGTTAACACATCAAACACCTATAAACACATCATACACCTGTTAATACATCAAACACTTGTTAACACATAATACACATATTAACACCATCAGATCACACTATTATCACATCAACACATCATACACCTATTAACATCATCACCTGTTACACTTTAACACATCTGACACCTATTAACACATCGACACCTGTTAACACATCAGACACCTATTAACACACCAGACATATGTTAACACATCATACACCTATTGATACATGAGACACCTGTTAACACATAATACACCTATTAACACACCTGTTAACACATCAACACCTGTTAACACATCAGACACCTATTTACACATCAACACCTGTTAACACATCAAACACCTGTTAACACATCAACACCTGTTAACACATCAAACACCTATTAACACAGCATACACCTATAAACACATCAAGCACCTATTAACACATCAGACACCTTTTAACACATCAGACACCTATTAAAACACCAGGCATCTGTTAACACATCAGACACCTATTATCACATCAGACACCTATTAACACACCAGACACCTATTAACACACCAGACACCTATTAACACACCAGACATCTGTTAACACATCAGACACCTATTATCACATCAGACACCTATTAACACACTAGACACCTGTTAACACACCAGACACCTATTACCACATAATACACCTATTAACACATTAAGCACCTATTACTACATAATTAGTCACCTATTTTACACATCAGACACCTATTGACACACCAGGCATCTGTTAACACATCAGACACCTATTACTACATAATACACCTATTAACACATCAGACACCTATTAACACACCAGACACCTGTTAACACACCAGACACCTATTAACACATAATACACCTATTAACACATTAAGCACCTATTTACACATCAGCTATTAACACATCAGACACCTATTAACACATCAGACACCTATTAACACATCAGACACCTTTTAACACATCAGACACCTGTTAACACATCAGACACCTGTTAACACATCAGACACCTGTCAACACCCTGTGCTGTGTGTTGACAGATTGGACAGCTGACAGGTTCCAGCCTCTGTCTTGGGTTACACAGACCTGCAGCTCCAAGGTGGAAGGCATTGTATGTATACCTTCTATACTTTCTGGCCTTGCATGTACTTCAAGCACCTGTTACTATTCCAGAACAGTTTTTAAGTATTTTAAGTTAGAATCAATCCTTGATTGAACCACTAAGCCACCAGTAGATGCTGACTATCTGTTCTCTCATGACTCCCAATGTGGTTATACAGGCGTGTCAACCGATCAGGTCTTTCTGGGGCCTGAAAGCCTACATGGCTATGGTGCTACCTTGACAGGTTGTTATGGGTTGTGAATGAAAGCACCTGTCTTGATTAGAACTTTGATGTTTTCCTTTTCAGGACAATGTGGCCCATTTCAGCTTCCCCTTCAGCTTTGAGCTGTTCTACAAGAACGAGTCTGTCAAACAGGAGGACAAAGGTGAGAAGAAGGGAGAGCATCAATTACATATTAATCAGATCTTCTATTCTGATATGATACTTCTCTGTCTGAAAATCTGATGACTTCTCACATCAGATGAATATAGAGCAAACATTGACTGCCCAGTTTTAAGGAAGAGTGTGTGGGTCCTTGTGCCAATCAGGTTGTTAAACAAGTCATTCATCTTCTACCTTCCATACCTTACACACTGCCAGACCAGAAGTTATATCCTTGAAAATACACAATATATGGGGTAGAGTTCATGGCACTGAGAAATTTAATGTATAAACTATCCAGAAGAATATGTTTGTTTGCATTCGGAACTGCCTGATTGCATCCATTTTCCATGATTTTTACTTTACCAATAACATTGAAGCCTTGATTGGCTGATCATCTGTCGGAAACTTACAGAGTGGGTATCGAGTCGTTGGTCTGGTCTTATTTGAATGAGATTGCAGTTAGATTGTGTTGGGTCTTTGATGGAGGTGTATGTCTCCAATAAAGATATGTAACTGATGATGAAATGCAGTAAAATGGAATATTTTTAACTTTTCATTGCACCCTATTATATTTTATCACACCAGCATGGAAATGTTTACTGTGGGATACGACAACATTCCCTTCAACACTTACTGTTTACTAGACGTGTCTGCTGGACAGTAACTAAGTCTCAACATGAACACACTGAAGTTAAGGGTCCAGACACAATGAAAATAACATTCTACCACTAACTCATGATGATGTTACAGATCAGATACCGAACTTCCCCATTGTGTTAGTGGAGGTCCTGTCCCTGGATTCGTGGCATCGGTTCCGCACTGAAGGCTACACCTATCTCCAGGTTCCCTGCAAACCAGGTGTGTACAGCATTTCAAACCCTTTAGCGTTCTGTCTGTGATGATCAGATGGAGGAGCAGGTCCTCAAACCCATGCCAGAGGCTTGTCTCACTGTATGAGGAGGACTTGTCTCAGCAATATTCCAGCAACATCACGGCGGGGGACACCAGAAATGGGCTTCACACATTGTGCCCATGTTGGGAGTTTGAGGAGGAGGAGGAGGATGGTGATCATGATGATGATGATGATTTGGAGATTTTACATGTGCTTTATGGCATGATGTGTATTTGGCAAACTGGTCCAGTGTAGCATGAAAAGAGCTCTTGTATGACATGTACCATGCCTATGTATTGATATAATAAACAGTTATAGTTTGAAACGATGGCATTTTGAAATCCAAGATGGACACCAGAAATTTTTTGAAAGTTTTTAGGCCTTATAACCAAGATTCTTCCCAATGTTATGTTTCTTCTTTCCCCAAATACTAAATACCCATCTCTTATCTGTGATCTGCCTCACAGGGATAAAACTCACAACTTCACCCTCTGGTCTGTGTGCTCTGAGTTGGATCTCTCATTGTCTTCACCCTCTGGTCTGTGTGCTCTGAATCGGATCTCTCATTGTCTTCACCCTCTGGTCTGTGTGCTCTGAATCGGATCTCTCATTGTCTTCACCCTCTGGTCTGTGTGCTCTGAATCGATCTCTCATTGTCTTCACCCTCTGGTCTGTGTGCTCTGAATCGGATCTCTCATTGTCTTCACCTCTCTGGTCTCTGAATGGGATCTCTCATTGTCTTCACCCTCTGGTCTGTGTGCTCTGAATCGGATCTCTCATTGTCTTCACCCTCTGGTCTGTGTGCTCTGAATCGGATCTCTCATTGTCTTCACCCTCTGGTCTGTGTGCTCTGAATCGGATCTCTCATTGTCTTCACCCTCTGGTCTGTGTGCTCTGAATCGGATCTCATTGTCTTCACCTCTGGTCCCTGTGCTCTGAATGGGATCTCTTGTCTGCTTCATCCTCATTGTCTTCACCCTCTGGTCTGTGTGCTCTGCTCTGAATCGGATCTCTTATTGTCTTCACCCTCTGGTCTGTGTGCTCTGATTGTCTCACATCTTCACCCTCTGGTCTGTGTGCTCTGAATCGGTCTTCATCTCTGTGCTCTGAATCGGATCTTGTCTTCACCCTCTGGTCTGTGTGCTCTGAATCGGATCTCTCATTGTCTTCACCCTCTGGTCTGTGTGCTCTGAATCGGATCTCTCATTGTCTTCACCCTCTGGTCTGTGTGCTCTGAATCGGATCTCATTGTCTTCACCCTCTGGTCTGTGTGCTCTGAATCGGATCTCTCATTGTCTTCACCCTCTGGTCTGTGTGCTCTGAATCGGATCTCTCATTGTCTTCACCCTCTGGTCTGTGTGCTCTGAATCGGATCTCACATTGTCTTCACCCTCTGGTTACAGGTGCATACCATGAAACCAGTCACTGTTGGCGGCCAGTAGGCCAGTCTATCTCGGCCCAGCTCCGCAGGTTCTTCATCGGGGGTTCTCCAGAACTGGAGGATCCCACCTATGCAGCAGTTCCCAGCACATTTGATGTGAGTTGATGCAGTCAGAAGTGAGTGAGTTTAGTTTTATGCCGCTCTCAGCAATATTCCAGCTATATGGTGGCGGTCTGTAAATAATCAAGTCTGGACCAGACAATCCAGTGATTAACAGCATGGGCATCAATCTATGCAAGTGGGCTACAATGACATGTGTCAACCAAGTCAACGAGCCTGACCACCCGATCCCATTAATCGCCTCTTACGACAAGCATGGGTTACTGAAGATCAATTCTTACCCATCATCACTTCTACATCTTCAGGGGTCGATGCAGACAGAATGTGCACATGGTCATGCTTTATTATTGTTTACATTGTACATTGATTTCTATCTTTATATAATGCACACAGTGTGGTAAGTGGGCAGGAAACCATGTAATGTTACTTGTTCGTGAATGTTGTGTATTGATGTGCCACTACTATGAGAAAATATGAAATACGCATTGATTAGATCCCGAAGTTGGTGGGGATTTTATGGCATTTAAGAAACTGATTACTGCACTCGTGTCTGTCAGATCCCATTTATCTTCCAAGTTGTTTCAAAACGTATCTAACAAGCAAAATCTAGAAAGTAGTACGTCATATCTCCACTCAGTTAATCAACATTGAGTAGCCAATCTCAAACCTGGAAATCAAATTCACATCTTTCTCAACCACAGACTTGTGAAAACCTGATTGTCTGGTCCAGATTATAATATTTACAGATATGGAGTATATAGTTAGGATATTGCCAAGAGCAGCCTTATCAAAATAACAAGCCATTTCACCCTGATCATGTATGTCAGTAACATATGCGTGCTAGTGGGATTCCTCCAAGTGGTCAACATCTCAGACCATCATCCCTTTGGGTCTAACTCTTTCCACATTGGGCTGAACCACCATAATGCTATGACAATAATATAATGAGAATATTTATAATGCGACTTTTCCAAGCTAAATATCCTGCTAAAAGCGGACAATCTGATCGTTATTATCCTGGATAGCCCAAGCTGCCTGTTAGGTGCTAGAAGGTTAATAGTCTCACGACTTATTTCACCGGGTACCCATTTTCTGCTGGGTGAACAGAGGCAATTTTAATCAAACTCACTTGCCTAAGGTGAGACCACATGTATCACATGTGCTTTGTTGTGGGGCAGGACTGAAGTGCTAAGAAACTTGCAGGAGCCGAGCTGTCACACATAGTCACCCATCCAAAGACTCTCCACGCCCAACGTTGCTTAACTTTAACTCTAATGCTCTATGCACGGGACCACACTCAACTAAAGTACTGTTTACCCTGCTTGCTCAGTGCTGAATCTGAATACATGAGATATTTTATGGATAACTTTCTTTTTATTCTTTGTTATCCATAAAACGTGTCTTGTATTCATTAACTGATACATGTTTCAGGGAAGCCACCTGAGCAAGTTTGGATTTCACACGGAGACGTCGGGCAGCTTGACGTACCGCTTCAATGTTGTCATGCAGTCCAGGTAAGTGCCCTGGAGGCTCACTAAGGCATCATGCGGTGTATTATGATAACATTGCATTCACAAGTAGGAAGCAGAAAGAAGACAGTTCACTGGGTTCAAGATACAGTTGAGTGGTGTAAATATAATATATGTGTGAAGTGAAGGTTAAGAAGATGGTTGAATGTGTTCAAGTGACACTTAAGTGACACTAAGTATATAATGTGTCAAAGGAAGGTTTTAGAGAATTTTTCACTACGTACAACATACACATAGGACATCTTGTTTGTAGCAGCTTTACTAGTCCGCTTATGGCAGGGACACAATAAATGATATTTGTAATGTAATTACAATATATGTTATGTATGTTTGAATAGAATGACATATCTGACTATCCCGGTGAAATGCCAGTTATGTTTGTTACAAGGATCAACTTGAACAGGTAATGGATGCTCCAGCTAGGTGCATTCCCTGCAGCATGAAACCTCACTCACTCACTCACTCACTCACTCCCTCTCTCTGTACTCACATACTCTGTCACTCACTCAATCCATGAGATGAGTTGCTATAACCTCAGCCAGTGTATTTGGAATATTTTTCAGAGCGTTTATGGAGAGGAAGGCCAACAAGAGATCAGTGGGTTCCCTCCTTGACAACCTGGGGTATGTGTCTACCTTGATTTTATATTACAGTGGAATCTGTCATATCCGGACTCTGTGTAATCCAGTTTTCTCCATAATCCGGACTACTCTCTGAGTCCTGGCAAAATTGTTCTTAATTTATCATTAAAGCGTGCTTTATAATCCGGACTCTCTCAATTACGGATTATAGACTAAAATAACTGTCCCGACAATCAACTTATTAGAAAAATGCTTTGTGATCCGGACATAGCTGACTAAACTAACAGTCCGTTGAATAAACATCTCTGTTACTTCTGTTCAAAAATTGGCATTACGTGTGTGACAGAGGCATTTCTGGTGTTCCCCTCTTTTTCATGTAGCTGGAATATTGCTAAAATAAAAACAAAAAAACCAAACTCAGCCAGTCAGTCAGTCTGTTCACAATGGTTAATGACTGAAAACATTGCATTATGTGGAAATTTACAGAGGCAGAAGCAGTTCATGTTAACAGACTTTTTTCAATGAAAGTATAAATATGTAACTTGTTATGAGTTAAACAAATGTCAACCTATTTCAATTATTACATGTCCTTGCATGAAGGATGTCTATTGTAAATACAAAACAGTTTGGGTGAAACAGTGTTCACAATACATTTACAGTGGAATCTGTCTATTACGGACTGGCCTGGTACCGACTCACGCTTTACCATTGTAAAGCAGTCCGGATTAGACAACTTTTGTCACTTACCGTGTTAACTGCCACGATGAGTTACCTCCCTTTGTTAAGGACAACCAACAACTTTTGTTCTTTTTTGTTTATACTCAATATATCTTTGATAACTCACACAGCTAGTTCACTGTCGTTTTCTATTTTGCAGAATCACAGCCATGCAAGCAAACATTTCAAGTGTAGTTGGTGAGTGTAACTGTGAGCCATGGGAAATTTCTTCAGTAAAATGGGGTACTGAGCCATGGTTATATGTAGTCGTGCACGTCATTACTTGGTAATGAGTCAGAAACAGGTATGGTGAGGATCAGTGAGTGAGTGAGTTTAGTTTTATGCCGCACTCAGCAATATCCCAGCTATATGGCAGCGGTCTGTAATAATCGAGCCTGGACCAGACAATCCAGTGATCAACAGCATGAGCATTGATCTGCGCAACTGGGAACCGATGACATCTGTCAACAAAGCCAGTAAGCCTGACCACCGATCCCGTTAGTCACCTCTTACGACAAGCATGGGTTACTGAAGGTTCATTCTAACCTAGACCTTCACGGGTCTGGTGAGGATCAGCTGGCTGATATAGACAAGACTAGAATTGAAACTGAACAGTTTCCCCAGGGACTCCTGCTGTTGGTCCCCAGTTGGGAACAGCTTCTCAGGTCCTGCTTGTATAGAGTACACAGTATAAATTCCTATTACATGTAGTTTGTCTGTTTGTCTGTGTGGTGTGACTGTAGTGGCTGTTTTGTAGTATTGCTGTTGACCCCAGTTTTGAACAGAACTGATATGTTACTTTTCTCCATTAGATGCCTTCAAGAAAGCCAGAATGAAGATGATGAATGCACGACACAATGCCGAGAGGGAACTGCTGCGAGATACCAAGGAATTATGATTAGTTGTGGGGAAAATAGTATCAGGACTAACATGCTACCTGATCAGAACAGTACACCATATGACATGTGCAGCACATGTTTCGTCACAAGTGCCTTTGTACTCCGCATAAACCTATCGGTATAAAGATAATGTAGAGGAGACTTTACACAATGCATGAATGGACCCATAGTTCTGGAGGCCCTGGGAACTGACATCAACAAATGGCCTTATCTGTCAGATATCCCAAAGACAATGGAAGCATTCTTATGGAATAATGTCTTGAAGAATCAGAAAATGATGGTTTCTTTAGAAGTTTCACTTTGAAGAGCTTCTTGAAATATATCATGTCTTATGTATATTTATAAGGAGCATGTGAGTCTCCTTGGATACAATGAATTGGTTGTTACGTTTTCATTTTGAGGTTTGTGAAGGGCTAACACAGGTCTATACTTGACAAGAGACTTGTGTGAAGATGATGCAGATGTAACAAAAATTAAACAAAAATCTGAAATTTGTAGATACCACTTATCACAATTTGGAACCCGGACATCTGTAAGTTTTGCATAAGTCATTGACTCAGTGTCTATTAAAGCCTGTTGTTATATAGAGAGCCTGTGTAAAATGTAAATTTTACGGAGTTTTCAGTTGGGAAAAGGGTGACTTCTTAACAGTTGTGTCTAACATTGTGATAAATGTATTAATTCAAACGGGAATTTCAGAAAATGAATCATACTTTCAAGACATGTGTCATGATATTCATATATTTGACATACTGAAGCTTGTAAATAACTTTAGAAAACAATTTCTGTCTGTGTAAGTTGAAATACAGTATGAGATTCAAACCTGTAAGATAACATTGTTTTGAAGGATTTTCTCATGCCTAAATACTCCGATCAACTTAATTTTATTTTTGTTGCCTGTCATGCAAATTATGACAAAAATTCAATGTGAGTTTTCAGAGGGTGTCTGGAAGATTTTATTCATATGTTTCCGTTACAGTTCAGTTTCTCCACAGAGGATGTAATTTTTTAAACTAATAAAGCTGATAAATGCAGCTTGCAGCTTGGTGCACACAACAAGTGTATATCAACTACACGGATCAGATTCTGTGGGGATTACAATAAGTCATGTTCTGGTTGTCAAGGCAACCAAAAGCATCCAGTGGTCAGGCACCATGACTTGGTTGACAGCCTGACTTCAGACCTTGATGGTGTGGATTGTTGATCATGATATCAATCCCTAGGGTGTGACACAACAAGTATGTCTACCACACTGATCAGAGTAGAATAGGTCCTGTTTTTGCCCAAATATATCCGTCCGTCCATCAACTAGTTTTTGTATGTAAGTATTATGTACAGATGTGTATTGTTGCTTTTGAATAAAATGTCTTTTTTAAATGTTTGGGTTGTGTAATAATCAAAGGATTATTCTTCATTGGCAAATGTTAAGATATATGCCTCGTTACTTCCAGTGTAGCACATCTCTCTGATCTCAGTGTAGAGCATATCTGACCCCAGTGTAGCACATCTGTCTCACCCCAGTGTAGCACGTCTCTGACCCCAGTGTAGCACGTCTCTCTGACCCCAGTGTAGCACATGTCTCTCTGACCCCAGTGTAGCATGTCTCTCTCACCCCAGTTTAGCATCTCTCTCTGACCCCAGTGTAGCACATCTCTCTGACCCCAGTGTAGCACATCTCTCTGACCCCAGTGTAGCACGTCTTTCTGACCCCAGTGTAGCACGTCTCTCTGACCCCAGTGTAGCACGTCTCTCTGACCCAGTGTAGCACGTCTCTCTGACCCCAGTGTAGCATGTCTCTCTGACCCCAGTTTAGCAAATCTCTCTGACCCCAGTGTAGCACATCTCTCTGACCCCAGTGTAGCACCTCTCTGACCCCAGTGTAGCACATCTCTCTGACCCCAGTGTAGCACGTCTCTGACCCCAGTGTAGCATGTCTCTCTGACCCCAGTGTAGCACATCTCTCTCACTCCAGTGTAGCACATCTCTCTGACCCCACTGTAGCACGTCTCTGACCCCAGTGTAGCACGTCTCTGACCCCAGTGTAGCACATCTCTCTGACCCCAGTGTAGCACGTCTCTGACCCCAGTGTAGCACGTCTCTCTGACCCCCAGTGTAGCACGTCTCTGACCCCAGTGTAGCATGTCTCTCTGACCCCAGTGTAGCACGCCTCTGACTCCAGTGTAGCACGCCTCTGACCCCAGTGTAGCACGTCTCTGACCCCAGTGTAGCACGTCTCTCTGACCCCAGTGTAGCACATCTCTCTGACCCCACTGTAGCACGTCTCTGACCCCAGTGTAGCACGTCTCTGACCCCAGTGTAGCACGTCTCTGACCCCAGTGTAGCACGTCTCTCTAACCCCAGTGTAGCACATCTCTCTGACCCCAGTGTAGCACATCTCTCTGACCCCAGTGTAGCACATCTCTCTGACCCCAGTGTAGCACGTCTCTGAACCCAGTGTAGCACGTCTCTGACCCCAGTGTAGCATGTCTCTCTGACCCCAGTGTAGCATCTCTCTGACCCCAGTGTAGCACGTCTCTGACCCCAGTGTAGCACGTCTCTGACCCCAGTGTAGCACGTCTCTCTGACCCCAGTGTAGCACATCTCTCTGACCCCACTGTAGCACGTCTCTGACCCCAGTGTAGCACGTCTCTCTGACCCCAGTGTAGCACGTCTCTGACCCCAGTGTAGCACATCTCTCTGACCCCAGTGTAGCACGTCTCTGACCCCAGTGTAGCATGTCTCTCTGACCCCAGTGTAGCACGTCTCTGACCCCAGTGTAGCACGTCTCTCTGACCCCAGTGTAGCACGTCTCTGACCCCAGTGTAGCACGTCTCTCTGACCCCAGTCTAGCACATCTCTCTGACCCTACTGTAGCACGTCTCTGACCCCAGTGTAGCACGTCTCTGACCCCAGTGTAGCACGTCTCTCTGACCCCAGTGTAGCATGTCTCTCTGACCCCAGTGTAGCATGTCTCTCTGACCCCAGTGTAGCACCTCTCTGACCCCAGTGTAGCACGTCTCTGACCCCAGTGTAGCACATCTCTCTGACCCCAGTGTAGCACATCTCTCTGACCCCACTGTAGCACGTCTCTGACCCCAGTGTAGCACGTCTCTGACCCCAGTGTAGCACGTCTCTCTGACCCCAGTGTAGCATGTCTCTCTGACCCCACTGTAGCACCTCTCTGACCCCAGTGTAGCACATCTCTCTGACCCCAGTGTAGCATGTCTCTCTGACCCCAAAATAGCACCTCTCTGACCCCAGTGTAGCATGTCTCTCTGACCCCACTGTAGCACCTCTCTGACCCCACTGTAGCATGTCTCTGACCCCAGTGTAGCACGTCTCTGACCCCAGTGTAGCACGTCTCTGACCCCAGTGTAGCACATCTCTCTGACCCCAGTGTAGCACGTCTCTGACCCCAGTGTAGCATGTCTCTCTGACCCCAGTGTAGCACGTCTCTGACCCCAGTGTAGCACGTCTCTGACCCCAGTGTAGCACGTCTCTGACCCCAGTGTAGCACGTCTCTCTGACCCCAGTCTAGCACATCTCTCTGACCCTACTGTAGCACGTCTCTGACCCCAGTGTAGCACGTCTCTGACCCCAGTGTAGCACGTCTCTCTGACCCCAGTGTAGCATGTCTCTCTGACCCCAGTGTAGCATGTCTCTCTGACCCCAGTGTAGCACCTCTCTGACCCCAGTGTAGCACGTCTCTGACCCCAGTGTAGCACATCTCTCTGACCCCAGTGTAGCACATCTCTCTGACCCCACTGTAGCACGTCTCTGACCCCAGTGTAGCACGTCTCTGACCCCAGTGTAGCACGTCTCTCTGACCCCAGTGTAGCATGTCTCTCTGACCCCACTGTAGCACCTCTCTGACCCCAGTGTAGCACATCTCTCTGACCCCAGTGTAGCATGTCTCTCTGACCCCAAAATAGCACCTCTCTGACCCCAGTGTAGCATGTCTCTCTGACCCCACTGTAGCACCTCTCTGACCCCACTGTAGCATGTCTCTCTGACCCCAGTGTAGCACCTCTCTGACCCCAGTGTAGCACATCTCTCTGACCTCAGTGTAGCACGTCTCTCTGACCCCAGTGTAGCACATCTCTCTGACCCCAGTGTAGCACGTCTCTCTGACCTCAGTGTAGCACGTCTCTCTGACCCCAGTGTAGCACGTCTCTGACCCCAGTGTAGCACGTCTCTCTGACCCCAGTGTAGCACGTGCCTCTGATCCAAGTGTAGCATGTCTCTCTGACCCCAGTGTAGCACGTCTCTCTGACCCCAGTGTAGCACATCTCTCTGACCCCAGTGTAGCACGTCTTTCTGACCCCAGTGTAGCATATCTCTCTGACCCTGGTGTAGCATATCTCTCTGACCCCGGTGTAGCGCGATTTTCTGACCCCAGTAAAGTATTCTCTCACACCCCAATGAAGCACACCTCACAAAACGATTTTCTGACCCCAGTAAAGTATTCTCTCTCACCCCAATGAAGCACACCTCACAAGACTGACTACCTGTCACGTTTATCAAGAGTGGAGTCGTTTGACAAAGCAGATTCCTTTTATTTACACTGTTTACATACTTGAAACTGGTTAACGATATCATTGCAATATTAGTTGACCCCGCAAATAGGTATGGGTAATATTATAATATTGTCGAATGTTATTACTTCGATTTCGATCCCAGAACTCAAACTGTCGGTGTTTCTGTGTGATCGAGGAAAGCAAGAGAACGAGTCTTTGACGTTATGTTGCCGTCGACCTTACTTAGTAGTCCTTGGGTGTGGTTTTACATGACAATTATGTTCGCTCTGGGTTCAACTTTCCCCTGTACCAGGACAATTTTCAGTATCTCGGACTTGCAACAATTTGAAAAGGTTTGGGCATCCTAACTAGGCCAAAAGTAGCCTCCAAAGAATATTTGTCCAAATCTGCTGGCTTTTGCAAACGATATTTTTGAAGCATTCCGGTAATAAGCAGAAATACCTCCATCCTTGCCAGGAACTCCCCTAAACACCTCCGACGCCCTGCTGAGAATGGCAGGAACTCTCCCAGCAACGATTGTCTGATCTGGCCAGACTCGTCCAGGAACCTCTCTGGTCTGAACACTTCTGGGTCGCCCCACACCTTCTTGTCCTGGCTCATAGAGTACAAGTTAATGAAGGCAACTGTGCCTTTCTTAATGTGATATCCCTGGAGCCACGTGTCCTCCATCGCCATGTGAGGGATAGCAAGTGGGGAGATAGATGTCAGTCTCATCGACTCATGGATCACGGCTTCTGTGTACGTCATCTTCCCGCGGTCTGCTAGACCTGGTTTCCGTTCCCGACCAACCACTTCGTCAATCTCAGCCTGGACCTTGTCCTGGACTTCCGGATGCGCCGCCATCAACAGTAACGTCCATTCTGTCGTTGTAGCTATTGTCACAAAACCAGCTCCGAAGAAGTCTGCGAGTGTCGTCTGCAGAGTCTCCTTGTCAAGATGGCCACGATTGCTGAGTTGCAAGAGACGATCTGTAACGTCTCGGATATCCGTTTCTTGGTAGGTATCTTCGTGTTCCTTGATCATCTTCATCCTCTGATGCTTTGACAGAGACAGAAGGTTTAGAAACTGATGGTACTTTTCCCGCATGAAGAATCTTAGCCATGGCAGAGCGTCAAACGGATTACCCGCTGAAACAAAGTTTGTAAACTTCTTCACATTGAGAATAAATTCAACGAAGTCTTTGTTGTCACGTACATCTTCTTGTACTCCATAGCAAATCTGGTAGATGACGCTACCTGCCGCTATGAATATGTATTCGTGTGGGTTGAAAGGCTTTTCGCCATGTTTTTTAAAGGATTTGACAACAAAGTCAACTTCATCGTGGACGATGCTCTCGATTGGGTTCTTTTTCGCATTCGCGAACATGCTCAGCGCCCCAAGTGCGTTGCGTCTATGAAACTTGTAATTGTCTGTAAACTCAGAGAAGCTGACGCTAGTGCCTTTGCTGAAACTCGTGGTGAAGAACCTTGGTCTACTTGAAAAGATGTCGCCCTTCTCGACCAGAGCTTCTCGGATTGCATCGGCTCCATTGACCACAATGGCGGGCCAGCTGCCCAGCTTAATGCTGAACACGTTGCCATATTTCTGCCACATCTCGGTGAATGTCACGTTTGGCTCCTTGCCAAAGAATGGAAGGGTTCCGAGGACAGGGACACCCCATGGTCCAGGAGGTGCGTGAGACGGCGTGAGAGACTTCACGACTCTGATGAGACCCGCCGACACCAGGAACGTCACCAAGAAAACCTGCGCCTCCGTGGACATAAACCCGTACTTGTCTGAGCTGTCCATGACCCTGAAACAAGGAGAACCTATGTAAATCAACATGGTGTACTTTGAATGCATATGGTTCAATTAACGATACGTGACAGAACGTCCACGTTTAACACGTTTGCTATTGTCATATACCGATTGACCATTACACGTGCCTTCACTGTACTTTGTCAACCCTTGATTACTTCATGGCCATATAATACTCATTGTGGCGTTAAACTACCTTCACTCGGATTCATAGATTGGCGTAATATATAATATTTTGAAATAACGAGAAAGTAATCGAAGTAGCGATGAAAAGTTTCAAATTTCCAAAAAATAATAAAATTAACGATGGAAAAATAAAATTACGAGAATATAAGCGAAATAACGACAAAATCTCGATACTGCAAGGAGATAATTGAAATTACGAGAAAACAACGTAAAACAAGAAAAGATCGAGGGTTTTCTTTTGAAAATTTGAAGGAAAAAAAAATGAACAACGGGAGATGCAGAAAATACGAATATTTGACCAAAGTTGCACTATTATACGGAAGCCTAATGCTTTTTTCTGCTACAAGTCTCGTTGCTTCGTTACTTCGAGTATTTTCTCGTTACTTCAATACTTTTCTCGTTACTTCGAGTTTCTATCAAAAAATTGAAATTTCAAATATTTTCTCGTTACTTTAAGTTTCTGTCAAAAACTTGACATTTCTAGTATTTACTCGTTGCTTCGAGTATTTTCTCGTTTCTTCAATTAATTTTTCGTTGCTTCGATTAATTTCTCGTTGCTTCAAGTTTCCCTAAAAAACTTGAAATTTCGAATATTTACTCGTTGCTACGAATATTTTCTCGTTATTTCAATTATTTTTTCGTTGCTTCGATTAATTCCTCGTTGCTTCAAGTTTCTATCAAAAACTTGAAATTTCAAGTATTTACTCATTGCTTCAAGTTTCTGAAAGAAAGTTGAAGGAACGAGAAAAATACTCGAAACAACGAGAAGGGGATGTCCTTAAACTCGGGCCTGGCCGAGCCGGGTCAAGGAGGGCCAAGTATATAATTGGCTTCTACATTGATTATCGAAAACCATGTCTACAATTAATTAATCCAGCTTACACCCATGACAATATGGGCAGCAGGAAGCCACACGCGTGTGTCATAATAACGTTATTACGAGTACATCGCTTAAAACTCAGGAAGAGGGGTACGAGTGGCCTGTGAAAGTGACTAAGGAAGGTTACGTCTAAAAGAGAAGTCGTTAAACGAAACAGGATTAAAAATGTATAAATACTTCAGTCAATCCTGATATACATTTCTGTCGGCCCGGAAACGTTTTTACAAATACTACCTCAGAAGTTCACTGTTCATCGTATTTAAAGCATGCACACAGGTAAATGATACGATCTTTTCCCCACACTTTGACAATTGTTCGGTTCTGTTTGGCCCTGGCCGTCAAAAGCAGCATAGATCTCACACATCTATCTTGAATTTTGTTTAAATCTATAAATCAGTATTATATCTACCTAAATATCATTTTCAATGTTACAAAATGCCACATGTAAAGATAACTGGTCCGTTAAAGTGAAACCGTTTCCCCCTCCATTCCCAACATATCCAGCCTCTATCAAAAGTGTTAAGTCTATGACTTGTCCCGGGCCATCAAAACAACCTAAGCATCACACGTGTATCCTGAATTGTACATATATCTAGTCATATCTACCTAAAACCTCTTTATGAAGTCTCAGATTGAAGTAATTTGAACGATCACGTTGCTCAAAGCGGGGCCATTAGCCTCATTCTCAACATGTCACAAGTCATCGGACCACAGTCGTATGAATCCCTGTTCTCATATTTGTTTGGTCTGTAGCGTTCCATGGCAAATATCAAACCGATACCCATCGAATGTTACCATTTAAAAAGTATGCCAGAAACACAGGCGAACAACCTGCCTAATATAAGGTAGTATTGTTGTGTTGTTGTTTTTTAACCCCTTTCACGTATGAATCATAGTACTATGTATCATTCACACTCCGATATGTTTGTCAACATATACATGTAGTATGGATGCACCCAGTTCGTCCGTTGCGTCAGTTTTTAAAAGTAAAGAATGAAAAGAAATTGCCCACGCAAACGAACCACGTGAAATAATAGCGACAAAGCCCGTTCCATATCCATAAGAGTCGATAGTAAACGTTCCGACTATATTATGAGCATTTGTTTTGTTTTTTTGTTGTTGTTGTTTTTGTTTTTGTTTGTTTCAAGTGTGTGGTTTTGTTTGTTGTTTAACGCAGCTTTCAGTCATGTGACTGTAAATATCGAGTCTAGACCAGACAATCCATTGGTGGACATAATGACAGAGCATATGTTTATGAATCACTAGATACCAGGTGTTCTCGAAAAGGTATGCGTATCCTATCCCACCATATGGACATCCTAGGGAATTGTTCACCTAGGAACGATTAGGGAACGTATGGTACAAGTCTAAATAGGGAACTGCAACGTGTACCATTTGTCACTGATACAACACATTTTGAGACTGTTGCTACCTTCTGTGTCGCAAGTATCTTACCTTCACCGACTGCTTAGTGGTGGCAGATAAAGCAGCTGTCAGTTGGGACAGGAAAGAAGAAGATATGGTTTAAATAACAAATCAACATCTTGCAAGGGGAAATGGGGGTATTTCAGAGACTAGCCACTTTTGATTGACTCTATGTTGTGAGTGGAGAGGGAAAAGGGCTTCATTTTAAGGGACCAATCATCTTTACATGTGGCATTTTGTAACAATACAAATTGATATTTAGGCAGATGCAATACCATTCTATAGATATAAATACAATGCTGGATACATGTGTGAGGTTTAAGGTTTCTTGTGGGAGCCCGGGCAAGACCGAACACATATAATATAGCAACTATTTTGAGGATATAGAAAAGAGGGCATCACTTTACGCAACGTGTTTGCTTCAAACACTACGCAGGAACTCTAGAAAATTAACATAGCTGTAAGAGCTTTAACCTATATTTAAACATGTCACATTTACCCGCTGACATTAGCCAATATCCACTTCGCATTAACATAAACGGCCTGTGCTGATTCAGCATGAGGTAATAAAGATTAATTAGGGAACCTCAATATTTCAATTAAGTAAAGAAATGAAGTCAAAACACTGTCCCTACCTGCCCAGGGCGTCAAACGCTAAGAGAAGTAAATAACCTTCTCACATAGAAATATCAAGGAAAACACAGAACAACAAGATGGTGTATTTTCTACGGGAATCTCGGTATGTAGTCATAGTTTTCTTTTTATTCCATCGTTAAACATACATTTTCAATCAAATTATACATTTGTGATGGCAGGAAGTGTTTCTTCCCAAATGTGTAGATTTCGTTTTAATATTCTGCAATCCAATTTTAGTAGTACCCTGTGGCCCGGCCCGGCCCAACTTTTCTTGGCCCGAGCTTTAGGTACTCCCAACGAGAAGTTAATCGAAGCAACGAAAAAACAATTGAAGCAACGAGAAAATATTCGAAGCAACGAGAAATTAATCGAAGCAGCAAGAAAATAACTGAAGTAAAAAGAAAATTCACGAAGCAACGAGTAAATAAATCGAAATTTCGAGAGAAACAACGAAAACATTTTTTGAAAGAACTTTCGAAGCAACGAGTAAATAAAATTTCAATTTTTTGAGAAACGAAGCAACGAGAAAATATTCGAAGCAACGAGAAATTAATCGAAGCAACGAAAAAATAATTGAAGAGAAAATAATCGAAGTAACGAGTAAATACTCGAAATTTCAAGTTTTTGACAGAAATTTGAAATAACAAGTAAATATTTGAAATTTCAAGTATTTGACAAAAAAATTGAAGCAACGAGAAAATATTCGAAGCAACGAGAAATTAATCGAAGCAGCAAGAAAATAACTGAAGTAAAGAGAAAATTCACGAAGCAACGAGTAAATACTCGAAATTTCAAGTTTTTGAAAGAACTTGAAGCAACGAGAAAATATTTGAAATTTCAAGTTTTTGAAAGAAACTTGAAGCATCGAGAAAATATTCGAAGCAACGAGAAATTAATCGAAGCAACGAAAAAATAATTGAAGCAACGAGAAAATAATCGAAGCAACGAGTAAATACTCGAAATTTCAAGTTTTTGACAGAAACTTAAAGTAACGAGAAAATATTTGAAATTTCAAGTTTTTGAAAGAAACTTGAAGCAACGAGAAATTAATCGAAGCAACGAAAAAATAATTGAAATAACGAGAAAATATTCGAAGCAACGAGTAAATATTCGAAATTTCAAGTTTTTGAGAGAAACTTGAAGTAACGAGAAATTAATCGAAGGAACAAAAAATAATTGAAATAACGAGAAAATACTCGAAGCAACGAGTAAATACACGAAATTTCAAGTTTTGAAAGATACTTAAAGTTACGAGAAAATACTTGAAGCAACGAGAAAAACTCGAAGTAACGAGAAATTATTGAAATTACGAGACAATACTCGAAGTAACGAGTAAAGAATCGAAGCAACAAGAATTGTAGCAGAAAAAAATGTTTGTACTACAAACTTGGCAGCATTAGGCTTTTGTACTATTAGGCTTACGTAACTGATAACTATGACGAACTTACAGCGTGAAGCTCAGCAGATATTTGTGTGGTGATCCTCCCTGGAACCCTCGCCCAACGGATACATATGCACCTACCTCCTATCAGTATGCGTGTAGTGGTGGTCAAACAGCCGCGAAACACCCTGAAACGTCGAAACTATACAGGTCAATGCCGACAACCATCCTCGGCGTCACCTGCTGATAGTCTGGTTCACCGAGCTCATGACACGCTATTAATACTGCTGATGACGTCATTTGCGGTGATCTTGTTAAGATGATTGTTAAAATAAAACGCTCAGGATTACATAACCAGATGTTGTCCCTGTAAACATGTTGGCATAATATCTGGATGAACACATCAGCAATAAAAAATCTCTATTGTAAATGTTAATATGTCAAGGTGACCGTCGAGTAGCACTTCGTGAGAAATCTCGTCAG